GCTTTTTTGTATGCGGTGAAACTTTCCATGGCTCCAGTGCGGTGCTTACTTTGCTACCTTCGAAGACAACCGGAAAACGATGAAATATTAAGACCAAACAAGTTTCTGAAATACAGTTAATTTGTGTTTTTACTTAAGAAGTAATAGTTTGAAAAATGTCGCGGAGAATTCATAAAACTTCCATTTAAGAAGAAGCTATACGTTCACGTTTTAGGAAGTGTTTAAATCCACTGGCTAGCAATATTAACTGCAATAATAACATCGGTTTAAAATTTCTAAAGCTTAAATTTTCTAATTTTGTAAATGCTTGCTGAAGTTATATAATCCAGAAATATTTAACACCTTATGGTAATTTATATTAGTATGCCTTGAGAATTTAATATCTTTGTGAAATTAGCCACAAATTCCATCCACAAAAATTGACCATTAAAAGTGAATGTTGGTTATGCCTCTAAGATTTACATGTGATGCATTAAAGTGGAAAAACTAAATTATTTCTTAGCCAAACTACGTTTCACTATCTGATATTTTGTGGAGAAATTTATTTTCGATATACTCGCTTGTTTACTATAGGCAACTACTCGTACTTCTACGTTCCGCTTGATTGTTGGTCCACCCACACATGTGTTACTTTGCGTACCATGTCTGGAGATATTCCAATCAAAAAATCCGCTCGTTCCTATCGTTTTTGACGTGATAACGTCTTTAAAATCGTTTTACGGGTGACCGGTTCAGAAACATTGTGTCACGAGCGAGGTCGATCGCAGGTATACCCCCCTCTCGTTATAACGAGAGAGAGACGGACCGATCTCCCGTCTCATCTCGAGCGCTGCCAGTCATTCCGACCCCCCTCTCGTTATAACCAGAGAGAGACGGACCGATCTCCCGTCTCATCTCGAGCGCTGCCAGTCATTCCGTGCCAGTCATAGCGTTCGAGTGAGTTGACCGATCTTCCGTCTTTTCGACCGATCTTTTCTCTTGCGGTTAAGTTTTCGTTGAATGTTTTATCGGCCGATAAAAAGTTTGTAGTGTGCGGGGAGCCTAACAGTAAAACAAAATGTGAAGTGCAAGTGAAGTGTTACAACAATTGCAACAAACAAAACTTATATCACCAATAAGACGTTATCACGTAAACATCTCGATCGTAAACCTACTTTACAAACAACTTAAATTTTTTAGTTTAAAAGATAACCGCAACCTGCCACCAGCGAAAATTTGCATTAAAAGGTGATTTTTTTTACCCTTTATCGTGAAATATTTGTATTTCACGCATTTACACGCGATCTTGGCGGCTCAATAACTTCAGCGCGGCGTCTAGAAATGCAGAATTAAAATTTCTATCGGGTGGTTCTTGTTTGTAGCAGGAATTCACCCTGCAACTTCCAAAAATTTTCATTAAAAGGTGATTTTTTCACTCTTTATCGTGAAATATTTGTATTTTTTGCGTTTGCACGCGATCTTGGCGGCTCAATAACTTCAGCGCGGCGTCTTGTGATGCAGAATTAAAATCTCCGTCGGGTGGTACTTGTTTGCTGCAGGAATTCACCCTGCAACTTGCGAAAATTTGTCTTAAATGATGATTTTATCACCCTTTATCGTGAAATATTTGATTTTTTCGCGTTTGCACGCGATCTTGGCGGCTCAATAACATCAGCGCGGCGTGTAGAGATGCAGAATTAAAATCTCCGTCGGGTGGTACTTATTTGTTGCAGGTGTTTACCCTGCAACTTGCGAAAATTTGCATTAAAAGTGTTTTTTAACCCTTTATCGTGAAGAATTTGTATTTTTTTCGTTTGCATGTGATCATGGCGGCTCAATAACTTCAATAACTGTCATAATCTTCAATCCGTTTGCCTTTATTTAAAAGATATTTGTTACCAACTATACTCAAAAAATAAATGACGCAGCACATAAGGTATACAGTAAACTACGAAGACAATAAATTATTTATTTGTAATGGAAAATTAAAGTTTTTCTCAATCTTATGACATCCCAAAGCCAATAAATTCTTTTCTTATGCCGAGAAATATTGAAAGTAAAAGTAGATTTCGTGTATGTCAGTTATTTCAACATTGTAAAATTTTAGTTTGGTTTTTTCAACAACGAGTTTATCAGTACGTTTGTGTATAAACAACTTTTTTTGTTCGACTGACGCGTATTATCGCTACGTACCAGCCTTGTATCTGGCTAAGCGAAGCGCACACGGCAGTCGTTTCACCGCGTGGTCCGCGTACGTGTCTCTCTAATCGCCATGCGTTTTGAGGTTTTAATTGAATTAATCGTCGTGTACTTTTTCGACCATCAGCAAAGTATTCGCAATGGGCATGTGTTCCTGTTTTGTTTAATGATTTGTGGCGTTTAGAGTTCCCTTAAATGACAAATAAGTGTCCATTAATATGTGTGTGTGTTTTTAGTTGATAGAATATATTCCAATATATAAAATCCCTCATCAATGCATAGGTAGGTGTGTAATTAATTTTTTTTACGCAAAGTTACGGCGGTTTAACTTAAATTGATTATTCTAATTGAGTGATATGAAATTTGCATGTATCATCCGCAATTAAAATGGATGATTTAATTAATACAAACACTGTTTAAGAAAGTACCTGAAGATTATTAAAATTGGCAATATTCATATGGTCGACTACGCTCACTTTACCGTCGGCCGTCGACTCGGCCATCTTTACGCTGAACACTTGAATGTTTTTAATCGATTTGCACTCCTTAGCATCATTAAATTGAGTTTTTTGTTGACCTGGTAAAATCTTGTAGGTTGTATACTTTTTCGTTTTCATAGTCTCCGTACATCTTAATATTTACAAAAAAATAGTTATTTTTATTTTCTCTAACGAATGTTTTCCGCCGGATAGTCTATCAATTTATGATGAGGTTTCACCCGTCGGTTACTTTATGCAGTTGATGCATCAATTAATAAATATATATGCACAATATGTTAAAATGTGTTTGACTTTTGTACCATCTTTTTGCTCAATTTCCCGATGATTTTCGGGTAAAATCTTGGATTTTATATTAAAATATTGTTGTTTATTTGTAAATTTTTCTCTTCATGTTGTGAATATTAACTCCCTTTGTAGTTTCTAAAGTTTTCTTTTGTAACACCATGTACATTTTCCTCATTGCCCTTTGCATTTTCTTTTTGTAACATCCTGTATATTAGTTTCCCGGAGCCTCGGGTGAAAAACGAATGATATTTGTAGTGTTAATTTTTTTCTTTTTCACATTAAATTTTCCATTTGTAACACCTTGTATATTTGTTTCTATTTTCAATCACCTAGAAAATGAACTATTTGCTAATTTCTTTATCCCTGTAGAACATTGTTACATGGTACTTGCTTCCATGTGCGTGGTTATGCAGGTCCTAAGTCCTGTTTCAACATGGCGGCACGTATTTGGTTGACTTGTAAAATTTAAACTTGTATTCCATTGTTAATAAATAAATAGTAAGATATATTGACTTCTTTGATTTGTGTGTTCGCCTTCTATCATTTCAGGAACAAGTCTCTAAGAGAGTTCCCTCTCTCAGGGGATGATCCCCTCTATAAAAATTGTTAAGGTAACCTGTATGATTTGTGTACTCCTTCTTTCATTTCAGCTACAGGTCATAACTTGTAAGAATATTTTTAAGTGTCGCCTCTCTTGAGACGACTTAAAACTTAGAAATATTTGAACAAGACCTTATAAGGATTGTCCTTATAAGGAGTTCCCTCCCTCTGAGGATGATCCCCCACCATAAAAATTGTTGATATGCCTGATAATTCCGGGGATGAAGCGCAGAGACATCGTAGCTGTAGGATGGGCCGGGAGCAATGGATGCATCGAAGCAGTGGGCGATCAACCAGAGCGCCGGAGGCCAAAAATTTTAAAAATCTGATCCTCCCTCCCTGTTCTCTTTCTTCTCTCTCCTCCTCTTCTCTACTCTGTTCTCTTCCTTCTATTCCCTTTTCTACGTCTCCTATTCATCTGTTCTCCGTTTCTCCACTTACTTACTTTCTTACCTCTCCTATTGCCTTCACTGTTACTTTAATTTCTCATATATTTCGTTGCAATTCATATATGCTACCCAAATTACACGTGTTATTTTTATATTTGAGAAAAATGCCTTCTATACCTGAGATTCGATCCGTGTCTACTAGCATCCCAGCAGGTGCACGTCCGCACTCGACCACCGAGTGTTTTTATCGTTGTTATTTGATTCTTCTATTTATGTTTATGTTTTATTCAAATTTTAAATAAGGCATTTAATTAAACGAACTTTATTTTTTCGATTTTTAACTTGTCAATTCATTAAATGCACTTATAATTAATGTTTGCACTTAAAATACAGAACTGAACTTAAAAATAAATATTTGCACTTTGAAAATGAATTCCACTTGAATAAAATGCTTTCACTATGAAATTAATACTTTGCACTTATAAAACTTGCAGTATTAAGTACGTGCCGTACTCTTAGCCGGCCCCTTCTTCTTTGCAAGTTTTATAAGTGCGAAGTATTAATTTCATAGTGGAAAGCATTTTATTCAAGTGGAATCCATTTTCAAAGTGCAAATATTTATTTTAAGTTCAGTTCTGCATTTTAAGTGCAAACATTTATTATAAGTGCATTTAATGTATTTACAAGTTAAATATCGAAAAATAAAGTTCGTTTAATTACATGCCATTATAAAGTTTCAATTTAAAAAGTTGATTCAAAGCAAATTTAAGCTTAAACCTGAATATATAAGTGCATTGTATTAAAATATAAGCTATACAATCTATTGTGCATAATATGAATTTCTTAGTGCAAAGTATGAAAACTTAAGTGCGGCTGTTCAAGTGGATTGTATTTTAACTAAAGTGCATTTAATATATCCCCTTTAAAAACATCAGCACAAGTCTCAGCTATATTGCACTCGCTCTACTCGCTTAAGATGAAAATTTGTTGAAAACAACAAAGAGGATACTACAAAGAAATATGAATGATTTATAATTTTACTAGCGACCTGCCCCGGCTTCGCACGGAAGTAAAAAACCGCATCAAAATCCGTTGCGTAGTTTCAATGATTTAAGCATACAAAGAGACAGACAGAGAAAGCGACTTTCCTTCTCCAAACAAAAACATCAACCGGTCAACTTCAACCCACACGTACACACATACACACGTCTATGCTTGGAGGGGGAAGCTACGAAGCATCGCACAAAGAGTAGACGGCGATAATATCATATTAGAAATAACAGTACTTCTCCACTATTTAATGGATGTTATTATACATACAAACCTTCGTCTTGAATCACTCTATCTATTAAAAAAAACCGCATCAAAATCCGTTGCGTAGTTTCAAAAATTTAAGCATACAAAGGGACCGGAAAAAAAAGCGACTTTACTTTATACTATGTAGTGATATTGTATTTTATTAACAACATTTAGTAATATACATTTTTTTAAATAAAAAAATATCGACCGCACGTAAATTCTGCAGCATAGAAGACTTGCCTTAAATATGCACATCTCCAACACTTCCGCTTTAGATATTTCAAGCTCCATGGTTTAGGTACTCATAAACTTCTTCCCTGGGCACCAGCGTTGCCTACTTGCACGAATTAATCACAACTCCAACTTATTTTTATGTGCAAAAAGAAAACCGATTGCCGACGGACATACGAGCGCCGAAGTAAAGCGCCCGATTCTGGTATATAGCCATCAATTTGTTTAACAAATGTAAGTCAATTAACTTAATTATGATCTGAAGAAACAAGACTAGTCGCGATGAACACACGCGATACACCCGACTGCCGGTATGGAACTGCACACAGTCAACAGCGACAACACGAGGACATTATCAGTATTGCGCGATACGTTCGGTAAACGCAACAAAAATTGTTTACATACAAGCATCGCTAAACTATGAGCCCCAGTTTTGGTACTCCTAGCGCACTCGACAAAATTTCTGCGGAGCCAAATCAAAAATCTATACGAAGATCGACCAACCAAACACGTCCACAAACAACGTCAGCGTACGAACAACTAAAATAAAAATTCATCATCGATTGTGAATATACAATTCAAGTTTTCATGTAAATAAAAATAAACTTACTTACAATGAGAGTTGCAAAACAAAACTTCCGATACTTGCGCCATCTACTTTCGAAACACCAAACGAATGATTAACACCTGTAAGTTAAATGCGAGCTAGCAACACCTAGTAGCGGCGGTACAAACTATGATTAGTAGTTCTTCTTGCAGGAAATTGTTCCAAAGCTACCAACATTAAATGCTGAAATTATTTCCTGGAAACTTGTTATTTGGTACAAAAGGAACTAATTGTTAATATTTTTGAACTTAACAAAATCGTACACAGCAAACGCAGTAAAAAATAGTGGATCGTAACAAATAAATGATAAAGCGATAAAGAATTACAAAATCTACGGTTATCCTAGCATTCCTTCAAACGCCAAAAATGTAATATTTCTGTCCAATCCGTATATTAATCACAAACGCTATGCATGCAAATGATAAAGAATTTCGATACTTATCATCTGATGTAAGAACGGTTATCCTGGTAGGACGGGTTCAGACGCTGTACCCCTAAAACAAGCATCAACTGATGTGCATCGAAAACAGAAGGGAAAGGGAGGTTGTATCAATATGTTCAACTAAAAATTGTCTTCTCATTGTATCGAAATATGTTCGTTAGCGATATCTTCTAAACTAATACAGATAGAGAAGATCGAATGGCATATCCTTAACCTTCGAAAAATTCTCTATAAGATAAGCTAGTTAAATTCCAGAAAATATAAACGGCATGCGGCAATATATAGATATCATATAGTTTAACTTGGTAATATAAATTTACCATTGCTTTGCGGGTAGAACATCAGATGCCCGGACACTGAAACAAATACAAGTTACGTATTATTTAATCAAAGTATATATTTATTATCATTATGCATTTACACATTATATTATTCTATTATTGAGTGTTCAAAATATTTTTTTTATAAATATCTCTATAAAGAAAACACTTGTACTAATACATATACCTACTAAATAAAGAAAAAAAGTCAAGGAGACATTTTCCAGGTGAAACGGAAAAAATGCTGACCTTTTTTGGTCATCTTTAAACTGAGAATAATAACTTTCAATATGGTTTAAAAACCCAGATTCTGTACATCTATCCAGCCAAACGTTGAAAATATTCAAGAATGGATGACCCTTTTGCATCAGCAGTTGCGAATAAAATGTAAATGTTGGGAAAATGGGACGTAATTGAGCGATGCCATCTTTGATAAATTTCTTTTCAACTTTCATAAGATACGCAACAGACCTTTCATTATGATTTACAATTATATCTCTGTAATCCTCACTTTGTCGCAAATATAGTTCCATGTCTCCTATTTCAATTGTATGCCAGCGTTTATAAATTTCTCTAATTGCTTCATCTCCTTTATTTGCGTTGTCTGCATATGCTTCTTTACTAAGAATCGTGCCAGCAAAAGTCATTTGACTCTTAGCCAAATCATCGTATGTTTGGAGTTGATATTGAGATATCGGTTGAACGATGAAAGACAACAAAACATTCTCAAAACTAGAGGTGTAAACATAAGAAAAAATAACAAATGTAATGAAGAGTACACGATTCTTTAAAAGAACTGGATGTCGGGTTGATCTTGCTGTAACTATTGCTATACCTTCCAAAAAAAGACTTCCCCCATCTTGTTTTAAATCATGTACCGAAACATTCCGCAGTTCTTGAAACGTTTTAAAAGTGAAACAGTAACGTACAATTATATACAAAATAAGAATAAATGCTAGTCCAGACCAACCAAATGGACTAAAAATTGTTACCATGTTCATGCCCGCAGGTAGGTAGCCAACTTTAGGAACATGAAAAGTTAACCTGGTTGGCAAATATACCTTTGAACCAGTAAAGTCCAATTGTAGATTAACTATAGTTGGAACATTACCCATCACAATGTCACATTTCCGATGATAAAGTGCGTCGTACATTTCTGTATAAGTTCTATTCTTATAGTAGTGTCCCCAACTGGTAAAATTATGTTTAAGGAACTTTACAGAAATATGTGCACGCTCAGCGATCAATGTTAATATTGTAGCTTCAATTCCCTCAACATCACCACCAGACTTAGTAATAACATAAGGTACAAGCGTAAGTGCCATCACATCCAAAGAACATCCTAAAAATCTAAGTCTTGTTTTTTGAAACTTTTTCAAATCTTGTAATATTGTGTTAATTGATAATTTTTTAAAACGTGTTGGTTTACAATTATTAAACGTGTCTAGATTGGTATCAGTGATGTAAATACTGCATTCGTTGTTTATGTCGCTGTTGAATAATACTAATGGATAAGAATATGATAACCATGCTGATTTAAAAATTGCTGAAATGGAGTTTTGGAGGCTGTTATTTTCTGCATTTAAAGTCAAATTTTGATGCACAACTGGTATAAAAACAATAACTACTTTGGAGTCCACTTTATATCGATTCGATCTATACCATTTTCGAAAAAAGTCATGCACAAGCTGAGGTCTTCTAGCAATTACAACAATATGATCAATGCGATTTTGTAGAGTGTCATCTTCATTCCATTCAAATTTAGTTCGACTATTGATATTGTTTTCTTCGTACCATGAAATGACTTCCCAAGCATTATATTGGGAAACATCATGAAAAGTTGTTACCGCAGTTAAATATTGCTCCACAACACTCGCCTTCAAAGTGTTATCGAACACAAATAGCCCGTTAAAAACTTTACTTTTATTTAAAAAATGTTCTATGTAATCAATGTTTAAACTTGAATCATTTTCCGTATTTGTGGACAGAAAATCTGTATTTTCCATTATCACAAAACCCATAAATCTCAGAAAGGCACATAAAAATAATAGTGTTGAAAATACATGTGTAGTTACAAACATATCGGACCAAAATAATAATAAGCACTGTTAAATTCTGCAGCACCAGTTCGCTAAGTTTAAAATAAAATGTGAATGAAATAATGAATACTGTACGCATATTTTTTCGTCAGATTTTTGTATCTTTCTAAAAGAATCTGTTGTTTTCCACCCAAATTAAAGCTAATTTGTTTAAACAAAGTCTCAAAGTATACATTATTTAAGTTGACAATATTATTAAAAGACTATCAAATACTTTATCTCATGTGATAGATAAGTAAGGGAGTAAATTATCGTAGGGAAAATTGTTATCAACACTTCTATCAAAGATGACAGCAAAAGTGGGTTTCAGTTAATAAATATTAAACAGTTTGAGCAAGAACATAGGAGCAAACTAAAGTCAAAACAATCTTCATTCTTAGTTGCCTACGTTAAATATAAGAACGTAGAAATATTAAGATCCGGGAGAAAGTTGTGCGTTTGGGCACTTGAAAATCACGTCCCGTTTATGTGAATGTTTAGTAATAATTATTTACAATTTATAAAACTGTATTATTGAGAAATTTACACCAGATATTTGAAATTCAACCCAAATTTGTTAATAATTAAATGTTATTTGTTTTATTTTCTCTTATTCAAACAAAATAAAACTGAAAATTACACATTTTAGAAAATGCTTAACTTAGTTTAGTCACGCTTTGCTTGGTTTGTCCGCAGTTTATAACAATGACAGTTTTGGAATCCTTCAATGTCAATAAAAATAAACTTTAATACTCATTATGCACGCATGAAAGCGAAGAGAAAAGAAAAAAAATAAGAGTAGGTGTTTAGCAAAGATGTGTGTAAACAAATTTTCATTTCCAAATTTGCAAAGAAAGAAAGTTTTTAACCGTTCCATTATTAATTTAGATAAACTAGAAAACAATTTCAATATTCTAGTTAAATAAGTGTGATAATAACAATCAAATAATTAAACAAGCTTACAAAACACTCTTCAAAGAATTGCGAACAATAATTAGGTCAAATTATGTTAGTATTACACTTTAAAATATACTCAATGTTTGGGAATATCCAAGACCAGTCAATAACTTATGATAATAAGGTATTCCGTGAATCACTCGCCAAACACAAAACGCAAGACATGATGAATGAACACGAGAACGCAATAGTAACCGACGCAGCTCGCGTGCCAGATTACGCAAGGCCGAAACATTACGAATTCATCAGCAAACACAAACATGTCCAATACGGCTAACACTAGCCATGTCTTGATGTCCGAAGCACTGTTATGATTATGTAAGAAATGCAAGTGTGTATTTACACTGGAAATTCATAAGGTTGTGGCCTAATAAAACGGGCATTCCCCAAAACGCAATTTAGCAAAAAGCAAAACAATGAGGTATTCAATTCTAATTTCTAGTTCAAGATCACTTTGTTATCATGACATTTATTGCAACTACCTGTCAAACAACTAAACGTAATTAGAATTATCTTCACTGAATATATTTCCGAAGTTGATATATTTTATGCTATCTTAAATGATGATTTATTATGATTACGATCATTAAAGAATATAGCGTGCAACCATTGACGTCAGTGATGACCACGAAGAAAAGATTTCATAAGAGAACGTTTCGGTTTAATGGCAACGCTCGATGTACCAACGTTGAGGCGTTGCATGACACGACATAGACGAAATAAAAGAAATGAAAGAAAGGGAAAGTGGAAGATCCGTGTTCTCGCAATGCGCTCGGGATTCCCGCTTGTTAGTTACAGGATATGCGTGTGCATTCAGCAGGAGTGCACAGTCCAATGACCTGAGACTGAAACGTGCAAGAAATATATAACTTTTTATTTAAATATTAACTTTTTTTAGAAAAAAACATTTGCAATTAAGAACGCATTTTAAAAATAAAAGTTAGTAGATAAATCAATTTAGAAGATTAAAAAGAAAAAAAACAAGATTGTATGTTTTGAAAACAATGCCCACCTTTCCAATTTCGCCAAAACATAGTTTTAGCAATGTATAAAACAATTGGTTGTTAATTTAAATTTACTTTGTTTATTTAATTGTTTCGAATATAGAAGATAATAAAGCACGACAATTGGAGTGAAAAGAAATGTTGTATGTAAATTTGGCATGTGAAACTTCTTTTGCCTGAACCAAGTAAATTTTTAGAACGAATTTTCTTTAACTATTACTACATATTTTTCTAAAATATTAAATTGTAATATGACAGCATCGACAAATAAATGACTTCATACTTTTTATCGTCCCTTTTTTTACGACACAGTTTTTTGAGTTCTTTGAAGAAGTTTTGTAATCGATGTAAATCCGGATCAAGAAAAAAATTCCCGGTAAACGTACGCATCTTAAACCCCCGTAGGATTCCATCGACGTCCATGGTTGGAGGAGCGTTGGAGCGGCGCATTAAAAGCGCAAGATATAAAAGCGAGAGTTCGACAATTCGACGATCATGTAGAAAGTTGGCTTAGCCCACTCAACTTCACCGGTTAAGCACAACGAATAGTGACTTTAAGGTACCAGAAGAAGACGAAGACGGAACGGGAAACGAGTATATAAAAACGCGAGTAAAGACAAAACCGATTCAGTTCGTGGTGTACTTGGAACTTGGTTGTGAAGATCCAAAGGATAATTGGTGCACATTCATAAAGGTAGGTGATTGTTTATCTAATTAAATATCACTTATATATAAATTAAATATTCGATTAATTGTTATTTAAAATTTGGATGATATAAACATATAAATTAAGCTAAATTTAGTAAATTCCCAAAAAATTAGAAAAAAAACTTTTTAAAATTAGTTATTACAAGAAATCTTGTAAGAAATATTAGCCATTTCAAGAAAAAGTAAAAATTCACTAATGGTAATAACAGAAGATAATTATAATTAAATTTCATTTACTTTTCTGCTTAATAATTGCAATAGGGCTATAAATTTGTGAAAATTTCTAAAGAAATAGACACTAAAATATAACAAAAAGCTTAGTTTGATTTTTACTCTACTGTGGCAATGAACCTAGCGACCGTGACCATCTTTTCTTTCTTTATGCGCCGTTCTGACTACGAGTGCATAAGTAAATCACAAAAGCAACATCGAGAAAGTACTACTTCTTTTATGTTCGTTCTTTCCTCACCTGCACAGCATCAGACATGTGAAGGCCTCATCAACTTTCACTTGCTGCATCGCGACGAATTTCGTCGAACGTCGTTAACGATTACTTATTCCAAAACAAATATGTACCCAAGGCGCGTAGGCGGTCCCGTAATAGTATCGGACATGGAGTTGTGTAACTAATCACGCGAAAACTAAGCGTGATGTCATTGCTTCATTGAATTGGCAAATATTAGTTACCGCGAAAGAAAGTAAAACTGATAGAAAGTTGTCCCGAACAATATAATCATCCTACGCGCGCAGTTTAAATATGAAGCATGACTCACACTCACTAATTCATGCTTTTCTCTTTTTTAATGTTTGGATTTGCGTAGCGATAACATTCGGTAATGTTTGTTTGTGTTTTGATTCGCAGAACAAGAAAGAATGAAGTTCGACGTGGGATTTTGCGTATTGGCATTGTGCCTATGCGCGTCGACAAATGCGTGGTCATGGGAAGATAGTCCCAAAGAAGATACGAAAGTTGAAGAGGTAGTTGAAGTTGAAGAAGCCCCAATTCAAGAAACAAAAACTTCAACCAAACGTGAAACAAATGCTACTGAAATTGAACAAGTAATCGAATCTATCCTGAACTCGGGTCGTCAAGGACGGAATATCAAAGGCTACGATGAAATCTACACTGATCCCAGTGTTCAAGAAATTCTCCAGAAAGACGTCAGTTCGGATGATCCGGAAGCCCGTAATATAATCAAAGACCGACTTTGCTCTTTGGGATTGATGCAATGCGATGAAGCGCTGTCCGAGAAGCGCCCATACATTTCCCCAGAAGAATTGGTTTACGCCCAACCCGTTGATATTAAACCTATTGGTCGTCCCATTCCATCCATTGCTGTCAAGGGCCCATCTAGAGCTATCTACTCATCCCGCCCAGGGTATCCATCCAAGAATGGACCACCACCACCATATGGACCACCAAGACCTGGTTATGGTCCGCCACAATCGCTACCAAACAGACCACCACAAGGATTCCCAGTTCCACCAAAGCGTTACAACCCTGGAGCTCCACCAAAACCCTACGGTCCTCCAGGCCCTGTTTTCTCATCGGAACCAATTGAAGTAGACAATCCACCTTTTGAATTTGATTCATCTAGCTTCATCCAAAAACAAGAAATCAAGAAGAAATATGAAACCCACATTGGACCAAACGGAGAACCCCAACAACACGTTCACCATCACTATCACCATAACGCTGATGCCAATCTTGCTAATAGCAAAGTACCAACAATTGTAGTTAACAATCCACCTCAAATTTTCAAACCAAGCGAACAGATTAGCACAACTGCTTTCCTGAAAGAAGATTACAAAGGCACATATGGTGGTCAATCTATTGCTAACTACAACGGACTTGGAAATTATGCTGGTACCAAACCTGTTGTTGAATATCCAGATCAATATAAACAAGGACCTCAGACATTTGGTGGCACCGGACAATCATTGTACACACAGACCAGTTTAGGCTCTTCTTCAAACTCTTATGGTCAAGGAAACTTTGGTGCAGGCAGTAACTATGGTTCTGCGTCTAACTCATTTAATCAAGGGTCACAAGGAAACTTTGGATCAACCGGTAACTATGGAAGTCAAGGAAACTTCGCTTCTTCTTCATCTGGCTTCGGTGGTAATGGTTTGTCGAACAGTTTTGGTGCTTCCGTTGGTTCATATGGCAGCTCTGATTTTTACAAAAAGGAATTGACTGTCGGCGGAAATTTGAACAATTTGGGCGGCAATGGTTATGACAAATATCAAGGTTTGAGCAGTGAAAACTATGATTGTATTTGTGTCCCGTATGACCAATGCCCCAACCAAGATGTGATTGGACGCAAAGATGACTTATATCTTCCTTTGGATCCGCGTAACTTAAAATCTGATATCCAAGCTGAAGAAGAACGCGTCATTACCGATGGTAATGGAACCATGACTACAATTAAAGTCAAAAAGGACACTGGCTTGAACGTTACTGAAGAAGCTGTTACTGAGAGTAGCAAGAAAACCAAACGTGAGGCCACTACTGAAACATCTACTGAGAAGGCTAAAGTTGAAGCGGTAAGTAATCAGAATCATTATTTCAAAACCATAAAGTATCATGACTACAAAGTAGTTACATGCAAGTCAATCATCATTAAGTGTGTTAAGTGTGTTGACAATTCCCTGACAAACTAAATCATCGCCACTACGACATATGACAGCAGACTAATGGTGCTAACCGTTAACAACAATTTGTTGGACTGATCTCTGACGATATCTTCTTTCTTTCTTTCCCTGTCTAGCGCCAAAGCAATTACAATCAAAAGAATATAAAACCCACATTCGGAGTCTCCTTTGGTTTGCCTCAGCAATATCCAATAAACTATCACCACCCTCATCTCGGTCCACAAAACCCTTACGTAAATCAAGCCGGTATCAATCTCGGTTTAGTATCTGTCAATCCATTGGTCTCCGTTCAAGTCACTAAAGACGATTATGGTGAAAAAGTCGTAAAGCCATATGTAAATTTGCATGTTACACCAAATAATTATTTAGTCGATAAAGTCACCGACTTTTTCGCGTACAAAAAACATCATATTTTGAACAACCATTATCACAATCACGTTTACAAACCGGGTTACGGTCACGGTCATGGTCATTACGGCCCACCACATCATTACGATGGGCCATTTTTAGAACACCCTCCACATCATTACGAAAGTCCGAATTTCCATCATCCACCACCACATCATTATGATGGGCCTGAATATTTGGAACATCCACCACATGGTCTACCACATAGCCCATCACAATTTGGGCCTGACTATGATGGAGATTTCAATGCTGGCTACGGTGGTGGATATGATGAATCATTTTACGGTCGTGCATTTGATGCGAACAATAACACAAGATTCGGATTTACAAATCTTGCGTCACAGTTTAACAATTTGAACAATTACGGCGCTAATTATAATGACTACGTGAACAAACCCACGGCATACGATTCCTATGGTAATCCTACCAAACCCTACGACAGGCGCAATGGCAAATCGCTTTACCAACAAGCTGAAGGCGAAGGGAAGACAATTAAATTCCCAACCAGTCGTCGACGACGAGATGTTCATGATTCTCAAGTCACTAAGGTGATCTAATAGAACAGGAATCTATACGGGAACTTTAAACTACATTACCATATTGTTCAACTACCAAAAATATGCTTATACTGTATTTATTTGTTACAGAGACAAGCATATTTTGGCCAACAACAACAACAACAAGGTGGAAACTGTGGACCACGACACGTTTGCTGCAGAAGACCCATCCGACCAGTCATTCCAAACATCAACACCAAACAATGTGGTGTCAGACACTCCCAAGGAATAAACGGCAGAATCAAGAATCCAGTTTACGTTGATGGCGACAGTGAATTCGGCGAATATCCATGGCAAGTGGCTATTTTAAAGAAAGATCCCAAAGAATCAGTCTACATTTGCGGAGGCACCCTCATCGATCCACTACATATCATCACAGCTGCCCATTGCGTAAAACAATACACTTCTCATGACCTTCGTGTTCGTCTCGGAGAATGGGACGTTAACCATGACGTTGAGTTCTTCCCATATATCGAACGTGACATTAGCTACCTTCATGTGCACCCCGAGTTTTACGCAGGAACCCTATACAACGACTTGGCGGTCCTTCGCATGGACAAACCAGTTGATTTCGCTAAATACCCACATATTAGCCCAGCTTGCCTCCCATCGCCTCATGATGACTACTCTGGTACCCGCTGCTGGACCACCGGATGGGGCAAAGACGCATTCGGAGATTTTGGAAAATATCAAAATATTCTCAAAGAAGTAGATGTTCCAGTGGTTCCACACGGTGAATGCCAACAGAGATTAAAACATACTCGTCTAGGATATGACTTCAAACTGCACCCAGGCTTTGTTTGTGCTGGTGGTGAAGAAGGAAAAGACGCCTGTAAAGGAGACGGTGGTGGCCCAATGGTGTGCGAGCGTGGAGGTACTTGGCAAGTGGTAGGTGTTGTAAGTTGGGGTATTGGATGTGGACAAAATGGCGTACCCGGGGTTTACGTAAAAGTTGCACAATATTTGGATTGGATCAGACAAGTCACCCAGCGTTTCTAGATTCAACATCTCAATCCACCCTTAATATGATCAACGACTTCAGACATTTTAAATCTAATTTATTTATTTAATCGTTTAATTATTTAGTTTAGTTTAATTTAAAAATGTAAAACTTCAAACGAGAAGTTGATGGTACGATGCGTAAGCATAGATTTTGTACTTTGTATAATTGAGCAATAAACGAATGTTGTGTTACATAAAAATATAATTCCAAATATACATTTATTACTAACCAAGGTGCCTAGTGAAACAAAAGACCACAAATTCAATAGACATCTAAACCGTCTAAACTAATTAGAACCATATTTCTGCCAGACACTATGTCTACCCCTGATGATGTAATTAATTCTATAATGGAAGTCAACCAATTTCCTATATGGAGGGAGTCAAAAGCTTTAGATAGTTCTGTGGTGGTGCGAAGTCAGGCGACACTTCTCACCGCAGATACCGAAGATCCGCGCAGCAGTATTTGGGATTCGATGATGTATGATTATTACCAAGAAAGAGAAGAAATTGAAGCATACAAACAAAGCAAATCCGCAGAAAAGACGGATTACGACACTCCAAAAGGTAAAAGAAAAATGTCTGTTCATGTACTTAATAAAAACAAAACATTCACCAACAGGTTCGGTTGTTGATTACATGGAAAATAATGTATTTTCAGTTCTTTTTCCTGTAGTAACAAATGTACTACTGGAAGCTGTGCGCACAGATAGCTTGTCGAAACTTCAAACAATTTTCGACCCTTTGGATTTGATTGCGGAAAAATTGTGGAACAATAATCCCAAATATCCAGAACGGCTTAAAGAAAATTTGAGCATTCATGATATGCCGTGGGCGAAACAAATATTAAAGGATAATCCACGACCATATTTCAAAAGATCATGGATTTACACACCAGAAGAAGCTGCAACTACCCTACAAGCTTATTATAGAGGTTATTTAGTGAGAAAACGTGATGACGTTCAAGAAATGCGTCAGTTCTGGTTAATTATCAAAGGCAACTTTAGAAGTACCCATGATATAATACCAATGGCCCATACAGCCTATTTGGAAACAGGCCAATTTCTTCCATAATTCAAAAGTTTCTATTTGATTATTCTAACTTATGATTAACCCATATAATAATTACTGTACCTTAACATATTTATATAACTCTGGTACAAATTTAGTGGATATGGTCTTTTCAAATTCAATAGATGGTTTTTCACCATCCTTGGCAATTTGTACTTTTTTAGTGTAAGCCATCTCCAATCTCAATTCATCTGCTTTTAGTTTTGGATTCTCTCTTAAAAGAAATTCTCGCATCAGAGGTGGAAATTCCATGAATTGTGGCATAAGTGTGGGTTCATGTTTGGTTTCAGCATTCAAATATTTATCTTCTTCATGTTTAGGTATTAATTTATAGTCTGTTTTATAGCTTGTAGATTCAATATTAACTGGTTTAGGTTCCTTTATGCCTCTAAATGTTCTTTCAACAAATACTCTCACTTTCCTCACATTCTATAGAAAAAATACAATTAAAAAGCTGACCACATTTGTGATTCAAAAGCAACAACTTACATCAGGAGATGGTTCTTTCGGATTTGGCAATGCTTCCACTTTTATAATCTTCATAAATGATGTTTCTGGATACCTTTCATGCTTTGTACGAGTAACTAATCTGCCCACACCAAAATTCTTTAAATTTCCAACAATTTCCCACATTGTCTTTCCGACAAAATCGTGCGTACGACCAATATACTTGTAAGGCATGATTACTGACTAAATGTACGAGAGCCTTATAGAAATTAAATATGATTTAAGACAGTATTGTTTTAGAATCTAACTGCAAATGTAAACTCTAGAATGTTGGGTTATAAAGTGCAGCATACGGCCTGTATTGTAAGTTGCCTATGTTAACAACTCAACTCAAACCAAAATCAGAAACAGTAGCTAGCGAATATGCAACAATTAATTGAACCTATATTTAATCAGCGTTTCTTGGTACTTCTACTGTAAAAATTAATACTAAATTAAAGAATAACACAAATTTAAAAACTATTGAATTTGATTTTGAATTATACATAATCAGTGCCGTAACTAGGGCGGTGCCAGCAGTGCCCAGGCACAGGGCGCAGACCCTGGAGGGGCGCAGAAATGACCATTTTATTTTCAGAACCTGGTTAGAGCATTGTTCAGGGGCGCAGTTTTGAAAGCTCGCACCGGGTGCATAAAAGGCTAGTTACACCACTGTACATAATGAATAAAGACTAATTTACGTAACATTGAAATTAAAACAAGCAAAAACTATTCAAAACCTTAAAAAAAGTCAATTAAAGCCAATAAAATAATATTTTACTAAATAAAACACTAAAGCTTAGCACAAAAATGAATTTGTATCCAATACGGAATTTGTATCCTATACGCAGATTGCATAGAATTATAACGGTGTATAACCAATAGTAAATAATATTGCACGCAACGCAAAATAAAAGTATTTCATTGAAGTATTGAACGCTGTGATCTAAATATCCAAATAAAATTTGTTCATAAGAAAACTGAAATAAAGCGTAACGCACCGCATAAACAAAAAAAAAGTCCGCGACCCAAATGTCCAGCACTAGTTCTTTCAAATTACTTTATTGATCCATGCACTTAATAAATATCTATCACAATTTCTCCCAACGCTCGTGGCTGATCAGAAAAAACCGCACATGAAAAAGCGAAATAAGAAGGAAATTCCAGTTGATACTAATTGTTTTGTAAGGTAGAAGAGTCACGAATCGCTAATGAGCGCGACAAAAAGAATCATCGACAGGCACAACAATAACGGACCGTCAAAAACGGCAAAAATGTCATGATGCGCATTTCTTTGAGCAGGACCGAGTAGCTGAACACAAGTATGTAAAGACCCAAGAGTAACCACGAGACAAACCAGCTATTTAAGGTATTTTTAAAACATTTAAACATTAAGTACTAGCACACTTTGTGTTACCAACTGAGAATGTGTAGAATTAAAGTCCGTTATCAGACTCTTACATGTAGTTGAGATTTTTTTCTACACAAATATTATAAATACGCACATACACATGCTGACAGCTAATCATCAACGTGAACAACATTTACAAGTGATAATGTCACGATAAACCAACAGAGATCAATAGAGAACTAAAGCAAGTGGATAATGCGAGATCAGTCGATCGTGGCGTTCGTTTGACGCTTCATAAAACTACAATAAATTAGTAATTCAACTTTATTCAGCGTTGAAATGCGACAGATTGCGGTAATCGGAGCAGGTGTGATTGGAGTAACAAGTGCGTTAGAAGTACAAACGAAACTTGGAAAATCAGTAACCGTAACGATTTTCTCGGATCGCTTCAGTCCAAACACGACCGGCGATGTTTCAGCCGGATTATGGACGCCGTATATTCTCCAAGACACACCAATGGACAATATTATGTAATAAACATAACCAACATTTACGTTACTTATTTTAACCTAAGAAAAAAAATGTCTGCGTTTCTCTTTCTTTTTTAATATGAAGCTTTGTTGCCCTTCCAAGAAATAAACGATTTGTTTAAATTCTTTATCTTAATTGGATTAGAAAATGGTCAAAGGAAACATACGATTATGCGCTTAAGCTGTGGCAAGATGGCGAAGCAGAAAAAGCTGGAATTTCCCTGCAAGTCATGACGGAGCTCTTAGATAAGCCCGAGGAACAAATACCAGAGTGGGTTTCATTAACGCTGGGTCACTGCATTCTCGATGCGAATCAGATTGCTGCGATTAATCGCAAATATCGAGCCAATTACTGGTAGGTATTTAACAATTCACTCGACGTGAAGCTATTTACCTATCTAAACAGCGCGCAACGTGAAAATATGCAAGAGTTTTAATGCAATTAAAATTTCAGCAAAGGTGTTACATTCACGGCATTTATCCTTGAACCTCAAAGGTTGCTGCCTTTCCTCATGGAGCAATTCAAAAAAGCTGGCGGGAAGATCATCCAGCGCAAAATAAATAGTTTCGACGAACTAAGTTCATACGACGTAATTGTCAACTGCACTGGTTTGGAAGCGAAACAATTAACAGACGACAAACTATTACAACCTGTGCGCGGACAAATCATGCGCGTTGAAGCACCAGGACAGTTTCATTGTATCATGGAACCCGAAACTTATATTATTCCAAAGTGAGGAATAAATTCTAACAAAGAATTATTTAAATCATTTTTACGATTGTTTTACAGCATGGATTGTGTAATATTAGGCGGAACTCACCAAGAAAACAGTTGGGATTTAAACGTGAGCAAATCCGACGCTGATGGCATTGCGCAGAGATGCAGACAATTTAGTCCTTCGCTCGAGGTAGGCGCGTAAATCACTTTGCGAGTACGCTAATTAAACCCGACTAACTGGACGACTGGTAGATTGGGTTAATTGTCTTTATTTATTCGCAGTCCAGCAAATTAATTAAGCACATGGTGGGTTTGCGACCGGGACGCTCCAGCGTCATATTACGCACCGAGATTCGGACACTTCGTGATGGGAAAAGAATTCCGATCGTGCATAATTATGGGCATGGGGGAAGTGGCGTTACTTTATCTATCGGATGTGCTACATCAGCGAGAAAATTAGTTGAAGATGCTTTAATTGGAAATTTTCAGAATAAAATTTCAAAGTTGTAAAAATTTACAATAAAAATTAGTTCACTTTCTAAAATATTCACATTTTTAATAATACGAACATTAATGAACAATATTTTTATCCATGTGGGTTTGACATAAATAATAGTGTTATTATTTTAACAAGCCAGCAATCTTTACGCGGTCAAAACTATAAAAGTTTTATCAGAAACAAAGTCGGTGTTAGTAGAATAACAACTCTTGATAGTAATCAACAATAAAACATAAGAATAATAGAGATAAACTCATCAAAACTTAAAAAAAAAACACAAGAAAAATACAAACAAAAGTCCCAGATTTATTATGTAACTGTACTGAAAGATATTGATACCTTTGACCTTAGTCTTCCAAAAACTCCTTTGAGCTGAACGGCGCTGCGACAATTAAAACGTCGCGCACGCCGCATTTTTTTTCTCATCCGAGTAATCATTATAACTCACGCGTTAATGCGTCGCCGCTGAACTTTTAACTAAAACTCGGCGCAACTAAATTAAGACGCTAACTGGCAAAAACTGTAATTACGGGCATAATAATCAAAATAAAAAGGCGCGTAAAAGGAAACGTGCGCGGCGACAATCCGATGCGCGCGCGTTAAAAACTGTTTTACTCCGTTATAGTTAAACTCTCGGCATGCTAATAGATAAGAATCATTACTTCCGATGCGAGCGTCAACGTGGAAATTATTAAATGAGGGCATTTAGTCGTCGGGCAATTTTTCTCGCAGTATAATTGTAGCGCGTCGGTAGGCAAATATAAAATCACAGTCTGTGCAAAATTAGACAAAAGTTACCTCTAGTTTAAAGGTATGCCAAGGCATGTTTAAAGATCTAGCCAGTTGTGGTATGTCGCGGCAACGTCTTCAAGAGTATGGTTTAAAACAAACGGACGAGTCACCGTCGTCGGGATATTTGTTTGGACCCATGGTGCATGTCATTTGACCCACTTGCTTTCGGGTGGAAGACGCGACGCGAGTAAGACGGATCTCAGAGAGGCGCTTAGCGGCGAATTTGATCTAACTGTATGGCACGCAATTGTGTGGTACCTACGCAGGCAGCACGACGGTTATAATTTCGTCGAAATAAACTACAGCAATAACGAGAGGATACAGCAGTTACATCCCATTGCATTTCAAAGCGTGAAGTCATATCGCGCGAAAGCAGAACAGGTCCAACACAATAGATTCTTAAAACTTGTTCAAAAATTACTAACAGAAACAAGTTGAATAAATCTGCATATATCAAGTGCAACTATCATGTGCATATTAAATAAAAAAATAGATAACATACTAGAAGGTAACAGGTTTCAATTACAGAACATTAGCAATTTCAATTATCACCGAATCATTTAATTGCACATAAGAAACGTGACTGGTCTTGGACGTTTCGCATTCCGATCGCATAAAATTGAGTTATTGCTTTACGTTTCGTCGACACACTTGATTCACGAGCTGTCCAAAACAAAACGTTGCTAACACGTAATGCGTTCGGAAGTTGGTACTTTGTGCTCCACAAAACAATAGAGCACATTAATCGCCAACCAGATAAGTCAAATTAAGAAATTTGTTTTGACCGCATCGCAATAAAATTTGTTCTATATTTTTATATTGCCAAAAAGGTTGACATTTTGTAAATCCTGATTTGGAAAGAAATGGTTTTGCTATGTACGGAATGCGGTGTTGAATGTACAATGCCCAAATTACACTTGAAGCAGTTTAGAGTTGAATTGAAGAGCGAATGATTACAATCGAAATTAAACGTAGTCGTGACCGTACAAGAGTACAATTACCGGTCGCAGGTTCAGTTAAATCGATTATCTTGATGGGTAATCATCTAATCAAATGTCAATTGTTTGGAATTGTTTAATTTGAAGCCATCACTCATCCGAAAGGTGTAATTTTTCAATCAACACGAATTTCAAAGCTTTTTCATAGACAGAAAGGATTTAACAAATAAATTATTTTATCAGCACGTCAGATTACTAAGAATAAATATTTTTGATGTACTTACGAATAAAAACGCAATTTGTTCTACATATTATGCATATTGAGAATTAAATGCGTGTAAATATAAATACATAAATTTAGTTGATCGTAACCCATTTATAATCGATACAAAGTTGTATATTTTATCACCTGTAGTTGCACGTATTCACGACAAGTCAAAATTAATTGCACAACGTGTGCCTCGTACGCGCTCGTAGATTATATCCACCTGCTTGTCAAAATGAATATATTACGTAGGTATAGGTATGTAGATGTGGTTGAGTGGCATCGTTTAGACATCGACGATTGCAAAACCGGAAAACTGCAGTTGTGAGCGTAATCCGCAACACTGACATTGCTTATTTATTATTATTATTATTTATTCCATTCATACGCGTATTCACATAAATAATATAAGTAGTGCACTTGCACAGCATCTCAAAGAAGTATAAGATCACTGGAACGCGTTTAATTTGAATAATATATTTCAATATTCCATAAAATATACATTACTCATGGTATCATCAATTATCTTACAATAATCTCAATTTTTTTTTTATTTACGCAAAGTAAAATTTATAAAATCTCAATTAACTTGTGATTTTTTTCTTTGAAGGATAAACGGATGTAAGTAATTAATTTGTAAAGTGAATTATTACATTTAACTTGTTTATAGCAATGTTCTTCAACAGTTGAAAACATTAAAGCACTTTAATGACTCGTGCTCGTAAGTACCTAACGATTTTATTGCTTTTCGAACTGACAGCTAACACCCACAGCTGGATTTAGATCGCGTCGATTGTTTAACCCACATACTGGTATGTACTTACAGAAAAACCGTTGCAAATGTTTAGTGGCTCAGCACGATACAAGATGTGTTTTTTAAATTTGTTGAGTTGATAAAGTAATCGCTTGTAATTGCGAATAATGCGAAAAGTTATTTAAACATTTATTTGTAATTTTGTGTAAGAAATTATCAAAGATCTCGTAAAATGTTATTTGCATGAATTGCTGGGGGGTATTTGATTGTTGATCAATTTAAAATGTTAAACATTTATCTTTTCGTGGGTAAAAAACATGAAATAACCAGTTAAATGGTTCAATTTATTGTTTCTGGGGGGTATTTGAATATAAATGAACCATTTTCACATCAGATAAACAAATTTTATAGTATTTTACGCCATAAATTAAATAAATATTGATTTAGAACCTGATTTGAATTTATTTTCATAAAAAATAATTTTAGAGAAAAATGTTATTTTGAAAGATTTACGAGTAACCGTTTTGCGGTTGAGCTAATACCTATATTTAATAATAAATTTATTATCCTCCTGACACTTTGTGGTTTACCCCAGATCAATACAAAACAATAGATCAAACTAGTTCAATATGACATAAATCTGAAACTACTTCAATTATCCCAATTATTGCGCGTCTTCAATATTTTCCACACAATCACATACCAAACACACATAATTTCCTCATAAGAATAAACAACTTCACAATAAAATGCAAATATAATACAATCCCAATTGTTGTTCGCGACTTAGCGCTCGACACTGATTCAACCACATAACACCGCAGAAATGCTGCATTATCATTCATTAACAACAATATATAAGCGCATCATTGTTGCATATTCATTCGAACCGATATTCCACATTATTTTCATCAGGCAAAACTAACGCTACTTTTTTATTATTATACGTTGCTCTTGATATTTCCTTCACGGGGTTATTGGATTACGCGCCGAACTGACATAGCAGCACACATTTTATTAATATTTACAGTGCGGTACCATCATGTGTGCATGTGCACACGCATGCGAAAATAAAATACGAAACAACAAGCGATGGCATATAGTCATCAGCGAATGTGGTACATTGGAATATGCAAGAATCTCGGTGCAATTTTGTTACGGTTTGAAGTCGGATTTGTGGGAATGGTGCGAATAAAATTATGATTAGAGCGTGGTTGAGTTTTGTGGTCGCAGAGGCGTGTAAAAATATGCAATCAACGTGCGTGCATCATAATTATGAATGCATCCCGGAGCAATTAGGAGCAGTGTTCTAAGGTATAACTGCATTGGTTGTGTTTTCATATTGATGCATTATGTTTTTTCATAACTCATTAGAATCTATAGCTGTTGGTAATTACTTAATGATTTAATTTATTTTTTTCGCATTCACGCAAGTTTAAGAATAAAAATAAATTATATTACATCACAGGTATAATGATTATCTACGACACCGTTTGTTCCTAATTCGATTTTCTTTCCGTCATTGTCTCAGTGCGGTCATCACAAGCAGTCATTTAAGCGTTTAGCACACGAAGAATCGACATTTATTCGTCGGTCGTGCACGCACGAAAAAGTCCCCGTCGTCCTCGGCTCGTTACGCATCGAAGTGTGATTGACGACGATCATACGCTTCAACGATTCCTTGTTTTTTGCCTATCTCTGCAAACGGTCAGCATGCGCCGCACACCGCGAGTCATTTAAACGCAAAGCAGATTCAAAACGTAAGTCGTAGCAAACATTTGAATTTTCTACATCTCGCAATGCCCAGCAGGCTTTCTTTCAATTGCAAAAGGGTACGAAGCGTACGGCGTATTAACAAAGAGTGCAGACTAATGCCCCAGCGAATACCAACGGGTACCAAACGTGTATAACGGATTAATCAAGACTATAAATCAATGCGCGAACTAGAGCATCGTCGAAGACCCGAATAGATCGATTATGATACCTTCGACTGGCTTTCCTGAGTCTACCTTCGCGAATGTGGTGCTTTGGTGAGGTTGCAAAGCAGATTAGAAGACTGGGTGCTTGAAGTAATTGTAAACGCGACCGGCGAGGTGGAATTGATGGCTCGAGGAGAAGAAAGAGCTTCCAGCGTCTGATTCGCAGAGATTGTTGTGCTTGGGCGTGAGTGTAAATCTCTGGTAACCTGTATTACATTGGGTATCCTCCGAGGAGGCGGCATGGAAGCGTGCGAGATGCATTGTGAAATTGAACCAAACAATTTGCTTTCAATTAAGAATAGCAAAGAGAAATAGATTGAATTTTCAAAGAAGAAATTGCAGGTTTAAAACTTTTTAAGTTTTTTTAATCAACCACAAAATTAAAATTAAATTCTTCCTGATTCCTTTTGCACAAAGTGATAATTTTCAAAACTATTCACTGGAATCTTGATGATCAATATTTTAACTACATAGTTAGTTACGGTTAGTTACTCAACAACGCATAAAATTCCAACGATTATGCATTGTTGCCGTAATTGCGCTATGCAAAACAACAATAATATTTTATACGGTACACAACACATCATTCTACGACACCATAAAACAAAAAGTGCTTGTCCACATAAAGTAAAATCAACAACAAAAAAAAACAGCAAAACCAACAAAATCATCACATCCAACGAAGCCAAGCCATAAGTCTGCAAACAAGCCAACACCGACCAGTACCCATATAACATTAGACATTAGAGCATCAAGAGCGATTTAACAATTAGATGCACTTGTCCTACTTGAAGTGTTCTCGCGGCGCGCATTAGACGTTATAAAAGTGTGCGCGATTACGCCGCGGCGTCGGCATCATGCTCAAAGCAATAACACCGGAATGTGTGGATGGACGTAATGTTGCGATCCTCCCAACGCAGCCAGACGCAGAGGAACCACAGATTGTTTTATCTCGCAAAAAATCGCCTACATCGCGCGAGTCCTTGATGATTTGTAATTCACACTTGAACTGGCTGCTCAAGACGCGCGCACGCATTTTTTTATGCTTTGTGTATATGCGTGCTGAAATGGCGCTGCTTCTTCCACAGGTGTTTAACTTTTTCTTAATGGTGCTTAGAGGATTTTAGCTCGGAAGCAGTGTGCTCGAATGACACAGTGAGAGAGTGACGTCTTTGCTGGGAACTGGGCATGGCGCGTTATTGAAAATTGCATTATATATTTTCTTGTGCTAGTCTTTTGTGCCACTAAACTAAATTTATGCTAAGTCATCTCTGCTTTAAAAGAAAATTTTGAAAATTTATTATTTAATTTTTTATTAATTAATTTTCATCATCATCATCATTTTCCAGGCTATAGCGTTATACGCCTTCTGGTCCTTTGTCTCCATTCATCTCTGTTGTTCCAGTCCCCTTCTGTGAGGTTTCTTTGGGACATATACCTGTGAATGCCTTCTATCCAGGTTGTTTTCGGGCGTCCTCTCTTTCTATTTTCCCATGGTATCCAGTTCTTGATTAGTTTTGGGAGACGTTCTTCAGACATTCGCTCTACATGGCCGTACCACTCCAGTTGTTTCCTCTGCAACTCGTTGATTAGTTCGTCGTCAACTTCCATGATCCTCTTTATTTCATCATTTGGTACCTTGTCCAGTCGTGATTTCCTGTCTGATCTTCGCCAATAGTCAAGTTCTAAGACCCTTAAATCGTTTTCCGTCTGTTTGTTTATTTGCCATGCTTCGCAGCCATACAGCGTGATGTTTTTCAGCACGGCGTTGAATAGGAGTTTTTTTTTTTTTTAATTAATTTTAAGAATAGAAAAAGAAATAAGTGCCAAAAAGGTAACTGAAGAATTAAATAACTGACTGAAAGCAAACAATTTACGTAATTTTGGTATTTACTTAGAATATTTAGAGCATATCCACTGCAGACTCAACAGATAAAACAGTATACCATTAAAACAATTATGTTAGGTTACGATATAGATGTTATAGTATATCAACAATGTGTTAAAACTAATTGTTACTTTACTGCTTTGCTATTTTTCGCTACCATTTACGTTTATATGACGTCATACCCAAACATACAGAGATTTTCACAAAACTAGATTGCATATTGTAGTAAAAATAAAAAGAAAAAAAGGAAGGAAAGGGGCTTTCTTATAGCTGGGTGTTACCCGCAAAAAGTGGTGGGAGAAGGATTGGTCCCGAAGCTGCCTGTCAATGGCAGACCTAGTCCCGAGAGGGGTACTTTAGCTATTAAATAATATTATGCTCCTGTATCAGATTTCGCAATGCCATTAAATTTTATACCAAAATTAAATTTAGTACCTATTTATCACTTATATGGTCAAACTCATTTCCTTGACCAATAAATTTAAATCATGAAACATGACTTAACCTCGTTTTACCTTTCCTGTGCATATAATGCACATTTTTTGAAGCAATACTATGTCAATGCATCGTTTCCCGGATATGCCAAAGCGGTATTCACTCATCAGACCAAAAACTTGAACACGTTGAATTTTTTAACTGCCCAGACTAGACTGTAGACTAACGAAAAATATCTTCGTTCTGGGTGACTTGTAATTACCTTATAATTACCGCGGATGCACTGGACTGCACTCTTTGATGCTACCGGACATGTCTAAGGGCATGTCAAATTGTTTACGAGCCACATCAAAAGTAAAACTCAAAAACACTAAAAATTGATTGAGGTTTAAAAAATAAAGTAAAAGTAGAAAGTTGCAAGTACTATCTTTACCACCTAATTAAAAACCAATCAACGCCAGGTAATTACCAGAAGAAAACTAATAGTATGCACATATGCAATTTCAAAGTGCAAATTACTACTGCCCTATATTTGCATACTAATTTAAATATGTTCTACTAATTATAGTATTTAAAAAAACTGTAAATATTATTCTTCTAGCGATTTAAATCCACAAACATTTAATATGATGAATTACAATGTGTTGTTGATTTATATGCAGTGTCTTAATATATTATTTGACAGAAAACACTCGACCGCCTACAGTCTACAGTTGTCGCACACGATTTAAACAATAAATCAACAAGCGTGATATAAATGATGACAACATATTATTTGCACCGAATAATCATTTACTTTTCGTGGATATCGGGTTCGAAACATGTGGGTTTCCTAGATATCGCATGGTTGAACAGAAGTACGAAGGTAATTTGTTTCTGTTGCTAGATTTAACTAATAGTGTTTCAGGATACTACAGTATACTGTTACTATTTGTAAGCGGTATAATAAAATGATGAATATTAATCGCTACTAATTATTATGATTATTTGTTTTCAGGGTTATGGTGAAAGCAAAAAAGTCATAAAACCGCATAAACATAAAAACTTCAAGAACTTTTACAGATGTTTCACTAATATTCTTGTATGTCCTGAAAAATTCCGAATTATATTTTAGATATGGGGAAAGTTAAACTCTTCACACGTTTTTACCAACAGTAAAATCCAGTAAAAGCCACTTGCGACTTCTTGTGACCAATTGTGACCAATCGAGCAGCCTATGATCTCGAGGATCTCATCGCTTCTCGCACCTTACAGGAGCTGCCTACTCGGTGACAGTCTGCGAGGAGTGCATGGCAAAAAAAAACGCGGTCTGCTCAAAAAAGGCACAAACAGCCCGAGAGCAAACGAAGCAAACGCCGTCTAACAGTACACCAGCCGTCCGTCACAACTGGCACTTCTTGTAGCGTAACCTTGCGGAACCAAGAAGCACCGCGTGCGCTACGGCAGTCCCGCGGCTTCTTCCTCACGAATCAGTCGACCGGCTGTTCTCGACGCCGCCGCTACTAAGTACTTCCGCAACTCATCTCGGACTTTGGCGGGCGCGTAACGCACAACGTTCCAGTTTTAACATAACACTCAAGAACTTAAGAACTGTCATCGTAAACAAATATTTTTTTAAATAACGACAAATTGTGTTTTGAATTTTTAATCAACCCTCAAAAAATTTTTAAAAAAATGTGCGCAAACGTCCAGAATAGTTATAGGATTAAATTAATTCCTTTGCTAATGATAAATATTGTAAGTATTATTTTAAATTTTTTTATCTATTAATCTAGTTATTAATCAAGTTATTCAAAAAGTTTTTGCAAAAGTTTGCAACTCCACACCAAGGAAAAACAGTTACTAAAGGGTAACTAATTAAATAACTCAATGAACGTTTCACTAAGCACGATTATTAAGTAACATCTGCTCAAATTACAAGCATAACAGCGTAATTATTCAACAAGAGAGACAAATAAATTGTTGCGATTCAAACGGCGGCGCACAGCGCGCGCTCAAGCTCCTCAAGTTCAAGCTCATTGCTGGCGATAAAAGCATGACTGTGGCACGACGAATTGTCTTATTCCTTGCATAATTTACTGGCGCACGTTTTAAAGCACATCGGCTTTCATTAGCATTTAGTTTACGCGATGGAAGCAGGAATTTCTAATTGCGTTCAGCTGAAGAAAACTGTTGCCTTTTAAATTATTACAATTATTATTTAATTCGATTGTTTTTTGTTTCCAATTATTGAGAATGAGTTTTCATTTGAGGATAATGTTGTAAATCATATTTATGGGCATACTTGTTATGATTTTGTAACAAGAAATAGAAACACCAAGAAAAAAAGATGGTCAATAATCAAATCAATATTTTTTGGATAATATTTTCGGGGAAAATTCAAGTAATAAGCAATTATACAAGACGCAAATATTTTTAACTTTGTTATTAGGTTATTTACTGTAAATATTTGCTAAAATGGCATTTCACCATCTAAGAACGCAAAAATTACAAATTTTCTTAAAAACATGTGGCGTATAAGCAGTTGTGAATCTTCCGTTGTGGCGGTAATGGGTCCTGTTCATTAACATAACTTTAATACTCGCGTACTTATCAACTTCAAGATAAAAACGGTAAATTAAAGTTGATCTTTGTGTGTTTCAATCAAATGAAATGAGAAAATATTGGTTTAATATTTAATTTAATAATTTTTCATGCTCTATTTGAATAGTGTAATAATTATTTATCAATAAAATTTAATTAAAATTGCCTAATACGTTAATATCTAACCAAAAACCCGTTGTTGGTTTAGGATGTGCCCGATTAGATTGAATAATAGATAATTTATACTCATGCAAACTCAAATTTAATGCACTCATCAACATTATATTTTGTTACGCACGATAATAATTGTTTATTACTTCAGTGGTTTTCTTGAATACAGTAAATTGAATATATCTACGCGATCACTACGTGATTATGGAATACATTGTACACGTTTAGATTGTAGCGTTTGTTTGCTCAGCATCTATGGCTCGCACGTCTTCGCCTGTTTACCAAAGAGAAATACATTCACTTTTCCAGTCACCTTCTTCATGCTATATGTACATACACGCTTTTTTCTTGGCGACCACGATTACACCTAACTGACCTAACTGAATCGCGTTCCTCGATGGCAACGCGCGGTAAATGTGCTTTCGATGCACCGGTTGAACAACGCGCACGTACCTACTGGATGAAATTACTGAAAAAAAGTAATTCAATCGAATTCGAATTCCACGTGCGCCATCAGCAGTTTTCCCATCTTTTATCTTATCACTCCTACCGTAATTGGCATATGCTTTTCAGTTAGAGTTAGCTGTCTTATACAAGTGAATCAGACACATTTCGAACGTGTATCTACAGCTATACATTCGCCATTCTAGCAATACTAACTGGATTCTGATTCTCTGTTTAATACACGCTTTATTTAATTTAAAACATTTTGAGATGCTACATGAATTATGTTATGAATATGACGTATGGAAGTATGTTTAAGAAGCCATTCATTTGTTAATGGCAATCGTAAAGTTACAAGTGGTCGTAAACTTACTCCTTTTATTCAGTAACAATTCGGTGTGAAATATTTCGGAAGTGCAGTTAGCTACCTATTTAAACATACGTTTCGATAAACATAATTTTTCTTATTTTTAAGGTACACAAAAGTGTGTTTTACTATAATATATAAATTTATGTAGGTTTAAAAAACACGTAAAACAACAATTAATATTGTACATGTAGACTATGGCTCAAATTTCGAGGCATGGTTTGTCAAGCTTAATTCCGAAACTAGAGCATAAAGAAGATTCATTTTTTCTGAGAATGCGCAACAATACAAACAATTATCTTAACCGAGGACAGATCATTTGTACCGAATAATTGAGTTCAATTTTTATATACGCGTACTTTCTTTACAATAAAAAGAAAATTAAAACATAAGTATAATTCAGAAGAGTATGACACCGAATTTATTTTAAATTTGCTTAAATTGCGTTTCTAGTGCATAAATTTTCTCATATTTATAGTTAATTAAAAAATATAAAGTAGAATAATCCACAATGACATTTTTATGTTTATCTTCACGTGTAAAATACAATATTTTACTTATAACTAGGTAATCTCAGTGAATGGCTTTTGTTGTGTACATGGAAGATGCGATAGTTTTACAATTAGCCTCCTTGAAGGAAATAGGCCACACTGAGTACCAGGAGAATGTCAGGAAGCAATTAAAGTTGCATTTGTGGCAACCGCACATAAAATACACATGTACACTCGTGTAGGTAGGTGTCAGCCATGGGTGCCATGGTAGTAAAGTCGTTTCCTCCGGGAGTGAAGGTATTGTGCTCGAATTACACGTACACGACTCGCGCGAATGTAGCGCAACATTGACATTGCCTCGTGTCTGGTCTTGTAAATCGCCATGTGCGCATTACAAGCAGGATGCGGCATTTGCATCGTATGCATATTTATCGCGGATAAACGTAATCGTTTTAATAAACATTATCTGATGATCGCTTAACACACTGACGGCATGCGTGAAGATGCCATAACCATATCAACGGAATAAATTTAAATGAGAACTAATCCCGCTTATATAATGTTTACGGCGTAAACTAGTCATGACTGTTGTGTAAGATGCAAGGAAATGGAAAACTAAATGGCTCGGAAAACGCACGCTCGTTTCCACTAGCATAGTATCGCAGTAACCGAGTGACCAACATATTATGATAAATTTTATTGCTTAATCAATGTGTTTATAAGATCAATGAATTATGTTTATTTCATATTTATAGCTTTAGAGTATTTTATAAATTTCTTATTAAGATAACTAAATTCCATTGGAATTTTCTGTGCTGCTGGTTTATGTTGATTTTATGTTTCAATTGACTTGATTTGATGTGGATAACAAGATGATACTAATTTTTATTTGCTTGTTTCAGATCTTAATTGCGGCACAAGATTATGAAGGTATGTATTAATTTAATTTGTCGAAAAGCCTTCGAAATAAACGTATTCAGTGCTTGTTAGAGTTTGCAGTCAAAGAGAAGAATTAGGCACATTAAATACTATTAAATAAAATATCGGTCACGCTTGTTAAGAGAATAAAATAGCGACACATTTGAGTTTGAGCACATTTGATGCTAACTTCCTTGAAATAAGATGTTGGAAGTGACTCATTCAACTGCAACTTCATTGTGGATGTCAATTTTTAAAATTTTATATTTAACTAACGAGTTTATACAAAAGTGTCGCGCACATAGTTTCATCCTCCCCCACCCCATTTTGCAGGTAGACCGCAGTTATAAAAGGACAAGGCACGGTGCGCACTGTGCTAAGTCATGCCTCAGGCATCCAGCAGGCCAGCTGCAGGTCTCTAGGTTCTTTTTTTAATTAAAATGCGCATACTTCTCGCCCTTTAGTGTTTCTGATTCCTTCAAGTTATTAATTTGCATAAAAAGTAATCTGAATATTCAAGATTAAAAAGTACAGTGCAATGTCATTAGCTCACTTGTTTTCATATGATTCTGTTGAGTTATTCCAATCAAAGAAGCAGATTATATAATTTAAACCACTTGAAAACTTTTATCCGATATAAGTTTCCATTTTATTAAATTGATAACATTTTCTCGTGAATTTACTAAGATTATAAGTATAAACGTTGATGTCATCCAGAAGTTCAAAATAATAAACAACAAATAAAAGTAGTAGAAGAAGTAGCAACAATGTAACGGAATAATCCATCGCCAAGCGCAATAAATATAACAAGCCATTGCAAGCCGCAACGCTCCATAGGGCACAACTGACGCGTCAAACCCGATTTGCTCTCTGATAATTCGCCACGATTCCGAATCACCACAATCACGCTAATAGAAAATATCAGCCGTCCGCGCAAAATTACTATTTAGCTTTGATGCACACGGTCAAACTGCATTCGATATTAAATGATGTTATTTCGATACAGTGACCAGTTAAAATGCAAGCGAAAAATAATGCTCAATTAAAACGGATCTAAATTAACGATTACGCCGACTTCCGTGGAGTGTGCGAGCTGGTATTTCGGAATGTTGTTGCGTTTAACATAATGAATATAAAATTGGCATTCCCGCGACGAATCGATTACAATATTACAAAGCGTGTTTCTTCCAAGAAGAACATTCGGAACTGTCTTCCTTGGTCGCACTTCATCTGTTAGCGCAAAGGAAGTTTATATAAGAATTTTCTAACCAGTTGTTCCGTTTAGGTAGTCTGGCATTTTTCGCTACGCGCGCCTGCCGCTGTTTGTTTATGTTAAAATTAGAATTGTGCGTCCGTTCCAATGGATTGCCCTAACTGTATTTGCACGGAAAGCAGCAGCGATGAGTTGTGTTGGTGAACGCGCATGAAATACCAGGGCAATCCTCGAACAAGTGTCGTACGATGGTAACAAGAGCAAAAAAGGTTTCAAGTTCCGAATAATTAATTCTCGAATTAGAATCAGATTGTATTGTGTAATTGCGCATTGTCGATTCACGGATCGGATGTTAATGTATAAAAATGTTTACTACTTACAGTGAGTGAAATTCAATGCACATTCGCCAGTGGTAACAGCGTCGCCGGGCGCGAGTCCATCGTTGCGAAACTGAAGAAACCAGATGGCTTTAAAGGTAGTCCATTGTTCGCCGACGATCGGTCCGTGGACCCTGAAGCGGATCCCATATGTCAAATACGGCCCGATTTGCAGGATCCCAATGGGGCTAGGTATAGCCTGCGAATTACAGATTTTAATCATTGCGGTGTCTTAAAACGAAATGTAAGTGGATTTTACTTGTTATAAATATTAACAATTGAATGTTTGTTATTACCTGATGCACACACGTTGAGAAACACTAGAGATGAAACCATGCACACAACTGATGTTTGTTCACTAACAATCACACTTTATCGGGCCAGCAAAGAATGTTGATAAACAAATGTTGAGTTGACAAACAAGTTTCAAAGACAAGCGGTCACGCGATACAGCAAAATTCTACCTGCGATTCTGATAGAGACATCTATTGGTGCCATTGGCATGAAGCAGTTATTTGAATTTTGAACCACTTTATATTTGCTATTCAATTCCAATAACTGAATAAAACGCAAGGTGTTTGATCAATAATGTGAAATATGCAATTGAAACTTAACGGAATCATTGTGCTACTTCATATATGTTTGATTGGATAATAATGCATCATGTGTTTACGATTATTTCAGGGCTTCGTACACGTGCGTGTGTGGTTTCCGCAGTTTCCAGGTGTCGTGATGCAGTCCGATCAAGAGTTGATCATCATGTGCAAGCCACCTGAGCCTACCGTAATAGAAAATAAAGCTGCCGGTTTCGCAGGAAGCTTGTAAGTGATTATACGAGCGCTCATTCTCACATCACTAACCTGTAGGCACCTAATAATTTATTGTAATTTTTATTTGCGTAGCCCACACGGTGCTCGAGTTTCTGGTGTGGTAGAAGAAACTCCAGGTCGATTGGAATATGAAGTAGCGCTCTATAAAGAAGCGCCGGCCGCCCGCATTCATAACACGAGCAGTCAACCAGGCGAATTGCCTGTTGATCAAGCGGTGCCGATCGGAACCAAACTTCAGCTTCGCGCTCGCATTTCGCCGGAATCCGCATGGAAATATGTGAAACTAATGGAAGTCACTGTCAGTCCTGACCCGGACGACCCGCATATGAGTGGCAGTGTTGCATTGGTGAAAGATGGGTAATTATCGCACACTAAACATCATTATCAACGTTCACAAGAAATTTCTAACTTTCAGCTGCCGCAATCGCGACTTTGCTTCAATCATCCCGCACCAACCGGCGCGTTATCGCGAGCGACACAATGAAGTCTTCCTCGATTTCGAAGCGTTTCTCCTTAGTACGATGAAGGAGCGTTCTACGTTGTGGATTCATTCACAGATAAAAGCATGTATGGATGCTGCAGATTGTCAGCCAGATTTCTGCTTGGATCTCTTCGAGCCTTCCGGACACGGACGTAAGCGCCGTTCGGCGTCGGCGGATGTGATCGAAATCGTCCAAGCACCGCAATCGCTCACCGGCAATCATCATCAGCTCGACGATAATGGGACGCAATTTACGAAATTTCAGGAGAACATCGAGTATACGGTACTCATGCCAGGCGAGTTCTATCACAAGGCGGCATCCTTGGACGGCAATTGCAGCTCGTTCCTCGTGATCGCCGCCATCTTGGGCTGCTTGTTGTTCATGTCCGCTTTCGTAATGTGCTGGCTGGCGACGCGTTTACATACGACGTTATTGGGAAACGGCAAGCTGGCAAATATTGACCAGCTTGTGCGAGAGTCGAGGGGCATTGATACGGTTTACATGGGCAGAGCAACAACTCAATAATAAACATGGGGCGGATGATCATCAATAATTGAGCAATGAGCACCAAACGTGTATATAGACATATTATTTGTACGTTAGTTGAATGCGATAGAGTATTTATTTATTTATGACTATTATTATAAATTGTTAGTGTGTGATACGATCAAAGAAATTTTCTTTCAAATATTTTCGTTTGCAATGTGAAAACTTCTTTGATTGCATGTGTTAGTAGTATTTTGGGATTTATGTTAGCAGATATAAAAGCGTTGAAAGTTGCTACACTGCAGTATTACAAATATGAATAAATATCAATGTAGTAAGTAACTTTCAATGTGTATCGTACGACAAATTTGGTTTCGGTGGCACCACATTTTTTATACAAATTCAATTTTTGCGAAAAATGTTAGTCATTTAAGCAGTATATATTATTGTAGATAATATATTGAATATTTATTTTGCGAAGAATTTCTTTAAATAAAACTTATTGAATCTAATCTCGCATTTTAGAAAAAATAAATATTAAATTTATGCTTCGACTATAGGCCACCAACATTATTCATTCCCCTCACCACAATCTACGGCTTTGCAATTTATGCCATCCACTCTCCCAATAAACAATTAAAATGTTAATCGAAAAAGTTTACAAGCCGCAAATAAAATTATTTGCTAACTATACTATTAATCATGTCAATATTTTAAACATAACCAACTTGTCAACATACTGTAGCTTGGAATAAGGAACAAAACTGAAATAATACTGAAAATTTTTAGATATTTGTATAATCAAAAACAAAATAACAATATAAACCTCTCCAAACCTGCACCAAAAATAAATCTCTTTCGTAAACGATTTATCACCACTAAGTAGCGCGGAATTCAAATTTCATTTAGTTGCGTCTTAACAAATCTAGCATTTAACTATTGCACGTGTCATCTTTGGTAAAACGCGTTATATGGAATCGTAGAGAATATAATTAAGTTAATAGAGAAATTTAGTCGACCTTTTCAGAATGTGCCGGCGTGTCCGGCTTTACATCTTCAATTACTTCATCACTTTCACAGCTGGATTTATCTCTTGACTTGTCCAAGATTGAAATGTCTTCAATCGAGGAAGAAGAGTAAGAATCATCCTCATATCTCACTGGAGTTACATCGCTATTGCTTCTTCGACTGTTTCGTCGTTCTCGGTATAATAAATATTCCTCTGAGTGAACCAGTTGATGCCAAACCAAGAAACCAATAACAGCAATTAAGAACAAGTTGCTTCCTATGCCTGAAAATTAAAATCAATGAAATTTATGTCGAACACTAATTAAAATGTGATTTGCGTTACCCAAGACAGCAGATACTACTGGCCAGTTAAACATAAAATATCGCAGACCACTAAATTCAGCCGCTATTAAAAAGTTTGCAGAATATACTTCAATTTGTCTCGACTGTATTTCAATATGAACGTCAGTCACCGTAGGTCCTTCCTCTTCTTCGTATTTCGAAAACAACTCAATGTTTAAATTCTGCTTTTCTTCACTTGCACCAAAAATAAACAGAGGACTATATACCAATGTGTAAATTGTGTCAATCAATGGAGATCTATAGTGCAACATTGACGATCGACAAGATTGCGCTATTAGATGTTTATTTTTGTTTTTATCCTTTGAGTAAAATTCCGCGCATACCATAAACATGCCTAAATTAAGCAATAAATGTAAAAAAAATTAAAATATTAAATCAAACACAAAACAAACCCATTTCTTTGTTAACTGGAGATTCTGGCACTTCCAAGTGCAAATTAATTCTGTATGCTTGCCCCAACATGAGTAGCTGTTGTCGTTTGGTGAGCTCCACATGTGCTGTCAAATAACTATGCTCGTTTACTGGGCCCCTCTGAGCATAGTTATTAGTTCTAAACCAAAAGACACACAATTTACAACCATAACTTGCAGATGACATTATATCATACTCACTTGAATTGCAAATGAACTGGTCTTTGATGTGCAACAGTAGGAACATAAGTGTAATAAAATGCCATGTACATAAACACAGAGAGCCAAATGAGAACACTTGAAATCACAGCAACCACAATGCCCTTTAGAAGCACATCCCTGGTGTTGTTGATGCCAGTTTGTGCCTTTGTCTTGAAGATCTGTAGGGTGTTATCAATATACTCAATGATGGGCAGTTTAACATCCTGCTTGAAGAACTCGGACGGACCGAGCCGGAAAAAGTCCGTTAGTAGGTACAGCATTGTTCACTAGTGGCGAGTAACCCATCCGAGATTTAATTCACCATTCAACCGTTTTATTACCTCATTCGAACGCAGTCGTTAGCTTATCTAAATTTTTTTCTGATCATTGATAACCGACAACCGCTAGTTCAAGCGATACACAATATCAACCTTTGCCTTGAGGCAGACTGGCTGAGACTAAACTTGAACTGGACGAGTTGATGCGAACTGTGAACATCTGAGTCACAACAAAGGTATTAGAGGATTATGCTATCTAATAATTGTACTCAAATCTCGCTAAGCAAAGGTTGATTGAATTGCGCATTAATCGAATACTTTTTCCGACAGAAAATAATACGTTGTGAAGTTACCTGCGATGTCCTCGGATATTTATTAACATTAGTATTAGTGTAATTAGTTTACGAGATTGGTTTACGCAAAAGGTTTTTGCTCACAGTGTTTTTATAAAGCGAATAACGAATCAAAACATAATGACCTCTGATTTTCAAGGTCCTGCCATACTGTAAATGCAATTAATATTTACGCGGTAAATTTTTAGCATTTAATAAAGTTTTTTATAACAAATCGTTGTTTGTTAATAACTAATTTCGTGTCGGACACCTTGCGCAGTCTCACTAAGTTTCTTTATCTAACCTGCTTCTGTCACCCGCATATTTTATCGTTAATTCCACAATCTGCGGTTCAGCTTAGCGCGCTTACCGAAAATGCCGGTTGTGGACAATCGCAAACGATAGCAACATGCTTGAACAATACAAAAATCATAAAATAAAGTGATGTAGATTTTCTAACGTCTTGATCAGACTACAACTTACATAACATGGATGTCACAGTACATTCTCTAACAAATAATCCAACACAAGCATGGAAAGAGATCTCAAAAGGACAGAAACTTTTCAAGTTAAACGTTAAAATACCGACAAAACCGGTAGACGCTGATAAAGTGCGCTTTGTGTGCATGAGCGATACGCATTCGCTCATTCACAACATCAAATTTGATGTGCCAGATGGTGATGTTTTCATTCATGCTGGAGATTTTACAAAATGTGGACAGCGGACTGAGGTGGAAGAGTTTAACAAGTGGATTGGTGGTCTGCCACACAAACACAAGATTGTCATTGGTGGCAATCATGAGCTGAGCTTTGACAAAAAGTTTATCACAGCTTTTAAGGAAAAAGACAAGGGTTCTGATACTGAGGATGACATTCCCAACTATGGGAAGAAGAGTGCCAACATTGGTGATGCTGTGAATACTGCTGACATTACCAAGTTTTTAAGTAATTGTACATATTTACAAGATGAATCAATTGAAATATTTGGGATTAAATTATATGGAACTCCATGGTTAGTAAACATATATGATTCATATGATATAAAATGATTAATTTAAATCGTTTTTATAGGCAACCTGCATTTGGAAATTGGGCTTTTAACTTGGAGAGAGGAGAAGAATGTCTAGCAAAGTGGCGTTTGATTCCATCCAACGTCGACGTACTTATCACTCACACACCGCCTTTAGGACACGGCGATTTGGCTTGTTCCGGTGTTCGCGCCGGTTGTGTCGAACTGTTACAAACTGTACAAACCAGAGTTAAGCCGAAATATCACGTATTCGGCCATATTCACGAAGGCTATGGAGTGACATCAGACGGCAAAATCATATTCATTAACGCCTCTACTTGCAATATCAATTACGTTCCCGATAACTTGCCGATAGTATTCGATATGCCATTGCCAAAAGGCTGCACCAAAGTGTAGGATGATGCACTATAGGTTAATTAATTTGATATACTCAAGTGGCTTAAAACAATGTGTATTGTACAATCAATATTAACTCAAGAATCGATATAAATAATGGAAAAAATCAGTGTTTTATAAAAATCGCTATCATTCAGTTACATCGTATTATTCGCCAATTGTAATAATACAATATATTGTAGTGTATAATAGTTTCATACAGTTTGTCGTGTTTATTTTGCCTTCGAAAATAAACAACAGTGCCCGCACGCTGTGATTGTATTGGCTAGGCAATAACCATAATCATCAAACAATGTCCTTGATATAAAAAGTTTGTCTTTGATCAACAATCAATGTCTTTATTGATTTTCTTCAATTCTTATTCAACATTTTCGTAAAAGATTGACAACTTATTGATTTAATTTGAAGCAAAGAAAATAAACATGGAGTAATACTGTAGACTTATAAAAAATGCAACCAATTGTTGTAAACTATTAAAAGTGAAATGCAAAGGGGATTAAAACAGCTAAGTGTAACAAATAATGTGATTATTTATGATGCTTTGTCAATTTAGTTACAAAAATGTTGAATAGAATGTTTCCCTCATCATTTTCTGCTTGTAAATTATTTAAAATCAATCGAAATAAACATGATATAAAGTGACGAAATTTGGAAGTAATGGAAATCAAAACAAATTCCCAAATAAATAAAATTTGCTATGAGTGTTGAGGCTGTTGCAATTTTTGTACTTCCTTCCTACCCCAGTATGCTTCCAGATTAAATGGTTCAAAGTCTTTGGGCATATGACTTTCTTGCTCACAATAATACTTAATGGTACTGCTGTTGCTGCTCTTGTCGGCCTCCTGTGATATTTTGTTCCATGATTCGCAAATGTATTTGATGAGATCATCATGTTGAGCACACGTTGGTTTTTCAATTGATGGAACTCTATTGAGATTATTGGTGTTGCTGGGCGGTCGTCGATTGTTTCCGTTCATCTGCGACATATTGCTTCGAGGGCCACTAAAAACACATTGTTTGATTAATAATTGCGTTCGATGATACGACAGACGCACAGAAAACATCAAAACAAAATTATCTAGGTGACTACAAAACAAGTGCCTGTTTGGCCTAGTTTGCGACGCGTTGAACTCACCTCATTTTATCGTGTGGCTGCTGTGTAGTCTATGAGTATATGGAAGTGACCACTCGAACACTAATAGGCGCATATAAGTTAGTTATTAATTATTTACAGGGCTCATCAACGAGGTCTAGTAAACACAGCAGCAGCAGCTTTGTTATTTTGACGCCATACGTAAGCGCAATGACAGATTGCAGATTGTGACAGTTGAATTACAGTGTTGCCAATCGACACACGAAGAATTTGAAAGTTGCGCACTGCACACTAGAAGAGCGGTAAACTTGAATAAGATGCACCGAGAAAACTCAGAAATACACTGACCAAATCCGCTACGCATTATTCTTTAAGTACTCTATTTTGTCTTAGGAAGGGAGAAACGTTTAAACACCTCCAAAAATTTCTTGACCGCTTTAGCTCGTTTAAAATAACCTAAATTTAAAATAGGTTGCTTGGGATTTACCTACTTCGTCTTTTAATCCCTTAATGAGTATTTAATCCGTTTTGTAAGTGACCAATTTGATTTCTTACGAGATACTCACTAATCCATTAATCCTTTAACATTTAATCTCTAGTTGGTAGAATATTGTTCGAAATGCCCTTTATTATAACGCCTGGTCAACATGTAACATTTCTTTTGAAAACATGCCCGTAATATTATATCAACATCAAAAATCTTCACAAATATACATATAAAAATACACAAATCAGAAACACGTCTTTTGAAATACAATTTGCTTTCATTTTTTTGGTCGAACAATATTTGCATCACGGTATACACATTATGCAACGTAAAACATTACTTTTTTTTTTATCGCCATTTGTTCCATTTGATAATCACAACAAATGTCGTTACATTTTGGTTTGCGTTATACACGAAGACACATAGTGACAAACATTCTTTTGATATATGCAAGTACAAAGTTTGTCGCGCATTATTAATACATTTTGTGTGTTTACCATTTTTTTTCTGACTTGTACGGGTTAAATTAAGTGATAACACAACCTTGCTCAACACGCCGAAGCACGTTGATTGTATTGCCGTTGGTTTCGTTGCCGCCGATTGTTTTGGTTCGCATAATCATTAGGTCCGTTCGAATGCTAGGCCTGCGTACGTTTGGGGTGACCACACCGCAAGCATCGCTGAGGCGGCGTTTTACTGATAATGTATACTTCTTAGCGTGTTGCTGTTGCACTGGGGGCGGTAGCGGACACGGCGAGCCAAAGTTTGCGCTCACGCGTTTGTGATGATTAGGCGCCATTTCAAGCGGTAGATTAGCCACCACAAAAAGTTGATAGAAAACTTCGTCTACTCTCAGATTACGTTTTGCTGATGTTTCAACAAACGCGCAACCCGAACCCTGCGATTCGCAATATGCAAGCACTTCATCCACAGTTACAGTTCTACAATATAATTTAATCAATAGAATTTAATTTCGTTGAGTATCACTGTAATACCTCATCTCTTTGTCGCATTTATTACCAGCGAGAACAATTGGTACTCGAGGAGGTGTTTTCTTTCGTCCCAAAACAGGATTATTTGCACCTCCGGCGTTACCTTTTGTTTCGAGAATTTGCTCACGCAATCTCACTGCTTCCTCGAATGTTTCTCGGCTGTCCATGCTGAATACAATCACAAAAAGATCTCCTACAAAAGAATATAAGTAATTTATTTCGCATTGTTATTTGAAGAAAATATTTTTACCTGTAAGAAAAGATAATCTTCTCATTGCTGGAAACGGATGATTTCCTGAAGTATCCAAAATATCCAACTGATGCATTTCACCTCGAATTCGGTACAGTTTACGATGAAAATCTTCTATCGTCGGAGTATAACTATCGTGAAATTTGCCGCCTAAGAACCGCGCAACAAGACAAGTTTTTCCAACGCGCGCCGAACCCAACATTACCAATCGGTAACAATTCTTCGGAGGCGGTTGAGCGTCCTCACAGGAGTTTGAACTACCTGGACTAGGGTTTGGTCCCGTGGTTACCATCGTCTCAATCGGACTAGCCTCCACTGTTTCTTTCGGTGATGTTATCGCCGACGTTTTGGCGTTTCCTTGTGGACACAGCCAATTCATACAGTATTCGTAACTCATTGCTCATTGTATTTCATTGCTTGCAAACTACAATAAATATTTTAATATTAAAAAAATATTTTTTCCAGTAATTAAATTCTTTGCGTGGAATTGGAACACCGGACGTGGAACAACACTCAACAAGTGCTCTACATTTACATGCAAACATTACACAGGGTATACAAACAAAAGTAAATTACTACAAATCAAATTAAAATGATTAATTAATTAATTTAAAATTACCGTCATAATTTATTGTTCTTAAATGGTCATCGATGTCGAGATGCGCGCACGTCTTCGCCGTGTGTGAATTATTTGTTATTGTCTCAGCGGTCCGCGACGAAACATGTTGATTCAGCTGGCCGCTCGCAGCGAGTGCGTGCCGGTGGCGTTCGGAGGCGGCTGGCGGCTGCTCCACGCTTCGCGAGTGGATGCGCGCCCTTGCAATCGATATCGACTGGGGACTGTCACACGCGCTGTGCTGCGTGCTCCCATGGTGCTCCCGAATAGTCGTGGGTAGCAATAAAGCGAGAGCTTGTATCTGCAAATTGGGATTGAATCGTCCTCCCAACAGTCCCAACAAACGCTGCCAACGCACTTTAAACTCCACGAATGGACGAATACACGAATAAAACGCCCCCGAAATGTTCAACGCCGGAATTAATTAATTCATTGCCAATTTGACGTGGGTAATGAACTTAATTAACGCTTAAAACGTTCATTAAGAATCTTTAAAAGTAAAAAAATATCAACAAAGCTTTTTATTTTTATTTTTATGGTTTTATGCTTATGACTTTATGATAATGGTCTTGATTAACAATGAGGAGGGTCTCCGGATAGTTAGGATAATTAATTGGATGGAATTCACATTCACCTTGTTACTGTGAATGTAATAAATGCGCCACGAAGGCAAACTTAGTCCTTAGTTTTCAGTCCTTGGAGGGATTCAAACAGCAAACACTGAATACTGAATATGATTCGCACGCTACGAATGAAAATCGATAAAGTTTATCGTATTAATTATTCTCACCTTTATCAAAACAAAAAGTGAATGGAATATGTAATTTAATTGCTATTCATATCTACTCCGCATCAGGATTAAATATTATTTAAATAAACTTTGCACTTACTTTATATGTTTCATTATAACTTTGCGAAACAGTTTTCAGAACTTTAAGAATCACCTATTTACATATTTAAAGTGCTCTGGGATTACAAAAACGGGTTTATGTCCAGACAGACTAGACACCACCAGATTAAGTTGATTTTTGGCTTAAAATCTTAAACATAATTACGTTTTATGACTTCTAATGTCTGTCACTCTAAATATTTTAAAGTTTTAATCTAAGTTTATGCTTTTATTCATTTCTTGACGTCATTAAAAATCATTATAAAGGCAGTATCAATTCCACAAAAGTTTTAACTGCTTCTGTGGTGAATGTATAACTGGAATCGGAATTGCATGCCAATCTCAACTTCAAATCAATGCCAAAACGTATATCCGCATTGAATGTAACACCAAACTTAGTCGTTTGCGTTTGCCGCCTTCCAAATAACAAAATGTAATTTTCGCTTCGGTTGTTTGGTGTTGGTATTCGTTTGAGGTGCTGTTTTCCTGACAGTTAATTTGATTGAAAGTGACTGTGCGGTCTTTTCCAAAATACTCTTGTTTGTTTAGTGTTTGGACGTTAACGCGTATTTGCTGCTATAATTATTTTGAATTATTTACTCTTTACAACTTGGATAATATTTGGAGTAAATATTAAATTATTTTGTGGAGAATTTAATCCGACAGATGAAATAAAAGGTAAGTAAAACAAATTTAATTACAAAACAATTTTAAGATTAAATTAACATAAAAATATAAGCATAAAATACTTATCATTGACTGAAAGCAATCATATTTCATTTGATTTGATTGTAATTTGTTTCGTGATTTATTACTTTAGAATTTCTCTGGAGGTCCAATGCATTCATGTCGAGCTACGGATGCGTGCAAATGTCAAATAAATTCATTCGTTTTGATCGCAATTATTTCCATTAGCTTGGAATATCTATTATGATTATATTATTATGAGAAAATATCAATTTTGAGACAGGCACAAGTTATGAAATAGAAATCAGACGAATCAGTAGTCAATTCCGCATTCAGACGTAAAGATCATAAAATATAAAGCCTTAAAATGAATAAGTATTCAGAAGAAATCAGTGCAAGCTTACATTATTTGGTCCTTTGGGACTTTTGAGAATATCAGCAGAAGTGCAAACGTTAATATCTTCTGTGCAAACTAATTTGCCAACTTTGCTTGTTAAAACTTGTGATACCTACTTTGGATTAAAATCACAATGGCTACAGATGAAGAATTGAACCGGGTTTGTATTAATTTAAATATTTATATTCAAAATGTGCAGAATTATTAATAGTTCTAATGTTTGAGTTGGGGTATTAGTATTGAGCGATAATGACTTGGCTATTGTCAGTTGCGTACTTAATTATGTTGTAATTATGCAGCTAGTGTCAAAATTATTAATCAATAGCAGTTTAATTATTATTGCAATAACAGAGTGTTGTTTGTAATTAAATTACCAAAATACATCATTAATTATTTTGTAAATAATAAATTATTTACCGTAATTCTCTAATCGATAAATAAGGTGAAAACTGAACAAAACAACACCTCCGAAGCAAATTCTCGAGACATTAAGTAATGAAAAGAAATACAAGTCACGAATTAATGAGTTTAATTAATTCGTCAAGAAAACACTCCTGTTGGTTGCTACCTCAAATTATACTGTCCTAGTACCCTTCCCGAACGCATCGCATCGATCAAACACGTAAACAAGTACTATTTTTTTCAACTTTACTTCCGCCCACAACAACATCAACATATCATGCTATCGGTAGAAAATCACAACATAATCTGACAGTCATAATGCGGTATAAAGAAAAAGCTTTCAGCGGCGTCTTGCGATAATAATCGCCGCAGCCTGTCACACATTCGATCGCGCGAAGAGAGTGCAAACGACTTAATAAACCATGAGTGAAAATCCGAAGAAGAGCGAGAGCAAAAAACCGAAAATGGCGCAGAAGCTGGCGGTGTTGGGCGGCGTGCGAAAGCTGGCGATGGGGCCGCGGTCGGAGAGTGAGGGCACCATGAACGTACGTAATGCGCACATAAACATCGAGGAAGTCAATAATTAAATATTTAACGACCAGCCAACCAGTCTCACAACCAGTGAGATTGTACACGCATTATCTTTACGTTTCACACGCCGTTAATGCACACACATATATACAAATACACCTCGCAAAAAACATTGAAACAGTATGCGGAATGAAGAAGAACGTTACTTGTTACATACTTATCCAGCGATATCGCGTTGCTTGGATAATTTAACGCTTTATATACGTGCATTATGCTTTCGTGCCTGGAACCAGCTCGTCGCCGGTTTTATCTGACTGAATTCGCTGAATGCGCTGAATTCTCAAATAAGCAAATCAAAACCCATCCGGACGTTCAATCTGAATTTTAATATGGGAAATAATTGAATTCATGCAATCAGAAAAATAAACAAACATACTTTATGCAAAATAATTGGATTATATTGCATGCTTCCCAGAATAAAATTCAATTTTTCAGTTTTATTTCGCGGCTTTAACTCAAAATATGAATTTGAAATGCAATTTCAACCTGTATAATAGAGCATAACATTGCAAAGCAGGTATAAAGCAGGTCCTAAAATAGTTTGCTCGTTGAGTGTGGAAAATGTATAACAGTTTGTGGAACAATGCGAATCCTGATACAAATGCTGATAGACAACAATAGTATTGAAGTTGGTGGAGGGAATATACATGGCAGACAATGCGACGGAAGGTGACTATTTGCGAAATGGATGTTTCGGCGTGGAAAGTTGTTGAAAAGTCGTTGCTGGTATTTAGGCGCGTGCTGAAAGGCGGTCGGTGCCCATCAACGCGTCGCGTGTTTGCAATTCACTCTAATTGCAATCTGATGCAGTAGTATTAATAAGCTACTCATGAACATGATATCGCGTTGCTACCAACATTGTTGATATCATGATACCAGGGATTAACTTGGGATTAGTTACGTTTGAACGTTTCATGCGTGCAGATATCAAATTGCCCAAAAATTAAAAAAAACAATAAAAATAAATAAACAAAAATGTTTGTTAGCGGTCCACATATAGAAAATTCAGATGAATCTGAGACAGAAGATGATAGTGATTTGGACCCAGAAACAATGCTTTTGGTATTTTTGATTGTGTTATACGCGCTTCAATTAATTGCTCTTTTTTAGCGCCGAAGGGAAGAATGCGAGAGAAAGGCGAGAAGAGGCGAAATGGATCCACGGCTCGAATTTACTTTCCAGCTGCTCATGGATGCCACAAAATTGACACGACATGAAATCATGAATCATGTATTTGAAGGCGATATGGTATACAATTTGTAAAAAAAAATATTCACACAAAATGTATTTTATTTCCATTTTTTGTAGCTGGATGAAATAAACCAATTGTTTCTTCCGCATATGCGCTCAAAACTGATGTGGTTCTATCAAGATATGGAGGAACCTGATCCAACTCCAGTCGCAGAACCTTCGAAACCTCGTATGCTACAACCTGGTACGAGTAAATCATCTATGGCGCCTCCACCAACAAAACAAGTCATCAAAAAGAAGAAACTTTTTTTGACTGACGGCTGGGATGTGCCGTTGATTGGTATTTGTGTTTATATTTTCCGAACTAGTACAAACAAACAATTACCCGAAGAAGGTTTTCATAAGGTTTTGCTTTAATTACGATTCTTGTGGACACACTGTATGTTTATTTGTAGGATTTATACTGTGGGATAATCGACGCGGAAAAAATTGGGCTTGTCACCACAATTGAACGCATTATCGAGCATGTATTCATGGAGGCTTTGGCACATCCATCGCCAGATGCTGATGATGAAGCAACCAATTGTCCAATGATAAAAACACAACTTTTACCTGGATTACGCTCATTTTGTAGCGCCCTACGTGTTTGTGAAGAAGTAGCAGGCCAGTCAAATATATTCGACGATAGCAAGATTATGGTATCACAGTATAGTTTGGACGAATTGACTGACTTGTCAAAAAATCCGTCGTTTATTCGCCCGTTGGAAATTCGCATGAAAGCTTGGGTGAAGAAGCTTACTGAGGTTTTGAGGGAAAGTGAACAAATACGACGCGAGACAGATTCATCGGGCCCGCAGGATGAGTTAGAGTATTGGAAAAAACGCGGCGCGCAGTTTTCACAAATCGTTGAGAGTTTACAGGGTAGCGAGGTGATAAAAACCATTCTATGTTTAGATTACGCCAAATCAAAATTCCTAAAGCAATGGCGTGAAACAGATAAAAAGATAACATTTTGTTACAATGAAGCTATTGATAACGCGAAATATATTCAATCATTGGAGAAAAATTGTCACTCATTGTATCTGGATGACCCTGTAAAAATGCAGGATTCTTTGTTGGGTTTACTGCAGACAGTTAGATTGATTCATAATGTGTCTCAGTTTTACAATACATCTGAAAGAACTTCAGCTTTGATGGTGAAAGTAAGTTTTAATATTAAACGTAAAAATCGTTTCTTTTGTTAACTTTGGCCATTGTTTGATAATAGATAACCAATCAAATGATTGAATCCTGTAAAGATTACATTAACAATCGCGGGACGCAAACAATCTGGTCCCAAAATCGTCAAGAAATGAAAGAAAAATTGTTGCATTGTATCCAATTAAATTCGACTTATCAAAAGACTTACCGAATAGTCAAAGCACAAGAATTGATGCCGGATCAAGTGCCTTTCAATTTCTCAGAAAACTACGTCTTTGGCAAGTTTAATGGATTCTGCGAACGCCTGAAAAAAATAATTTCAATGTTCGACGTAATTGATGATTATACTGGACTTTTCGAACGCCGTATGGAAGGGCTTCTACTGGGTGATAGTCTGGAGGACGCGATTAAAAAGTTCAACGAGATCAAAGACATTATAATGAAGAAAACCTACGACTATCTCGATCAAAAAAACACCGCGTTTGATGTGGATTATAGCGCATTCAGGCATCAAGTCGAAGCTTTAATCAAACAGCTGGCGGCAATCATCGAAGCCAGCTTTGACAGCGTGTGGGAAACACCGCAGGGCATTAAATTTCTCGTGCGTTTCGAAAAAGTCGCCGCAAAAATTCCCATCTGCAAAATGGAGGAGAAATATTCGCGAATATTGAAACATGCCGAGAAAGAAGTGGAGAAAATAATTAAAATGTACAAAAAACAAAAAGATGATCCACCCATCCCGATGATGTTTCCACCCATTGCTGGGAGAATTAAATGGGCAAGGTCATTAATATGTCACTTGGACGAACTCATGGAATCCATAACGGGTCATGAAGTGTTAAAAACTTTACCGGCAACAAATGACTTGTCAAAACGACACAGAACTGCAGATCATCTATTGCGAAACTATCAAGATGATATTATTGCCGTGTGGATGAATCAACACGTTTCGGATGTTGATAAATGTCTCAAACGAAAATTGCTGACGATTTGTTCCGAGAAAAACAAACTCAAAGTCAACCAACATATTACTATCCCACTTCTTATCAGGGAAAGTGATTTAATGTTAAAAATGGATTTGCCAGTGCCAGTTATTTGTTTCACCCTGTATAATAAGCGAGAACACTTTGGTTTCACACACGATTCATTACAGTTTTTAATTAAAGATTTTATTCGTGCAGTACAATCGGTTAAACCCGAAGTACGACCGTTATTTTTACCGCATTTAGACAAATTGATTAAGATAATAGAACCTGGTTTAATTGAACTGGACTGGGTGTCTCATCAAATTCGTGATTATATTCAAGACGCAAATGAAGCAGTTGAAAGATTTCAGATTCTCGTGGATCGCGTGAATGATGTTTACACAAATCGTATTTTGGAAGTTTTAAAGAAAATGCAAGAAGTAACACTTTTAGAATTACCTGAAAAAGGCACAACATGGACTGTGGAAGAGTTTAATGATAAGATTGAAACAATTTGTCGTACGGCAGCCACGGAATTGCATAATAAAAGTATGATGGTTGAACGTGCAGTAGAAGAAATCTTGACGTTAGTTAAACAAGCAAAACTTGTTAATGCTGATTCATCAACTGAAGAATTTTTCACTGAAGGTATAAAAATTAATGTTCTAATGTTTTTGAATTAAATTAATTTAATGATTTAGATCATATGGATGTCCGACAAGATTTATCAGGAAATCAACAAACCGATTGGACTGCAATCGATGAATGTTTCGATCGTCCTCATATTCTATTCGGTAATGGATTAAGTAAAACCCTGCAAGAAATAGTAAAAAATGCGGTCAATGAGATGCGTCGATATTACAGCCGGAAGGTAGTGGATGTTTTAGTAAAAATAACAAAACAAAGCTTGGAAGTTCTTCGCAAAACCTTTACTCTCTCGGGTATTGAGATTGTCTAATGTTGTTCAACACAACACTTTCATTAGATTACGTTGTAGAAGACAAGCCCGAGCAAGCAATCTTTCTGCTCCAAGCCATACTCCTAATACCGAAAGTTTCGATTCAGCCGAACTTGGAAGACGTGCAAGAAATCGTCAGCCTCGCCGCTAAACATATTACTTCAGTGGCGAAAGGTGTGGCTCAATGGTCGAGTGGCAAACCCACGGTAATTATTCGCACTAGTTTCTATCTAATACCTGATAAAGCTTTTCGAAACCAAAATAATCTTATTCTTTTATTTTGTTTTTACCAATGTTACTATTACAAATACTTATGACCCAAACTCACATTATTTCTATACTTCGCTATACACTGTACATAATATATCTGCACTCATTGTAAATACACAAAATCATCAAATAAGACACCACCAAAACCAACCGGTTGGCGTAAGTTAGCCGGACAAAAAAACACACTCATGGACATTGTCTCTAACATAAACAAGACTCAAAAAGGACCTGTGAAGACGAAAGATGAAGATTTTCGAACACGGCGTAGGCGATTTTATCGTTTAACAACTGAAGAAAAGCCAGCATTTCCAGTTCAAGCAAAGAACTTTTACAATCACGTGCTGGAGAATAAGGAGATCATTAAAACGCTGAGTTTGTTGAGTGTCTGCATTCTGGATATGAAAAAAGTATGTTGGTCAATACAGAAAAAAGTAGTGCAAATAGGACTCTTGAGAATCACTTAATGTGTTTACAGGAAATGACCGCTTTTATTATTCAATGGCGGCCGTACAGCGTCCTGTGGAAAAATGAGAAATCCGCAAGAGAATTACAGCAAATAAAACTCACCGAGTTCGAAGATTTATTGGAAAAACATCATGAATTAAAAAACAAGTTGGACACAGAGAAAGAAATCCAAATCATAGGAAACTGCTTGGCAATTTCAACTGAAAAGCTGAAATATGGTTTGTTGACTGAGATCAGATCTTGTACGCATAAGTAAGCAAAGTAAACATATTAAGTAGAAGTTTATGATCCATAAAATTTACTTATATCACAGCATTGGGCAAGCGTTGAAGAAGAAATACAAGCGTGAAATGGATTACGTCTACGCAGTGATAAACGAAATGGAGCGTAAAATCGATCGACCTATTCGTGACCTAGACGACGTTCGCATGATCATGGATAATCTAAAAAAGATTCGCGACCAAGAAGTCGACATGGAACTTAAAGTCGAACCCGTAGAGGAAGCTTTCAATGTCCTAAATAAATACGAGATTAGGGTAGAGCGTGAAATTACTGAACAAGTGGATAATTTACGCGACACCTGGACACAATTGTTGAAACACGCGTTTCAAGTGCAGAATAAACTTTTGGACATGCAGCCACAACTGCAGGCTGAGCTGAAAGACAACTTGGCTAATTTCAAACAGGATAAAATCGATTACTGCAACGAATACCACACGGCCGGTCCGATGCAGGCCGGATTGACGCCGCGGGAGGCATCCGATAGACTAATCTTGTTTCAGAACCGTTTCGATGGCATGTGGCGCAAGCTGCAGACGTATCAGAGTGGTGAGGAACTTTTTGGTTTGGCGCAAACGGATTATCCTGATCTGGCGCAAACTCGAAAAGAGCTTAATTTACTTCAGAAGTTGTACAAGCTGTACAACGATGTTATCGATCGTGTTAATAGTTACTATGACATTCCATGGGGAGATGTTAATATTGAAGAAATCAATAATGAGTTGATGGAGTTTCAGAATCGATGCAGAAAATTGCCGAAAGGGTTAAAAGAATGGCCTGCATTTTTTGCATTGAAGAAAACAATTGATGATTTTAATGATATGTGTCCATTATTAGAATTGATGGCTAATAAAGCAATGAAACCAAGACATTGGCAAAGAATCATGGATTCATTACAACACATATTTGAGTTTGAATCCGACGGTTTTTGTCTTAAAAATATTCTGGAAGCACCGCTATTAGTCCACAAAGAAGATATTGAAGATATTTGTATTTCTGCAATGAAAGAACGTGACATTGAAGCTAAACTCAGACAAGTAACGAATGAATGGTCTGTTCATGAATTAACATTCCAGACATTTAATAATCGTGGCGAACTTTTACTACGTGGCGATACAACGGCTGAAACTATCGGACAACTTGAAGATAGTTTAATGATTTTAGGATCATTACTATCAAATCGTTATAATGCTCCGTTTAAGAAACAAATTCAGCAATGGGTGTTTGATTTGTCAAATACTAATGAAATTCTTGAACGTTGGCTTCTCGTGCAGAATATGTGGGTTTATTTGGAAGCTGTTTTTGTTGGTGGTGATATTGCTAAACAACTACCTAAAGAAGCAAAACGTTTTGCTAAAATTGATAAGTCTTGGCAAAAAATTATGCAACGTGCGCATGAAACACCAGGTGTTGTAAATTGTTGTGTTGGTGATGAATTATTAAAAAATCTATTACCACATTTACAAGAACAACTTGAATTATGTCAAAAATCATTAAGTGGTTATTTAGAAAAAAAGCGTATGATGTTTCCACGATTTTTCTTTGTATCAGATCCTGCTCTATTGGAGATTTTAGGCCAAGCTTCAGATTCACATACAATACAAAATCATTTATTGAGTATTTTCGATAATACCAGATCGGTAAAGTTTCATGATATTGAGTATAACAAAATGACGGCAATTATTTCATCAGAGGGTGAAGCAATACCATTGGAAAAAGCTGTGAGGGCTGAGGGAAGTGTTGAAACATGGCTAACAGCTTTGTTGAATACGTCACAAGCATCACTGCATTCTATTATTAGAACTGCGAATTCTAGCATTAACGATCCCAATTTTACTCTTTTGTCGTTTTTGGATAAAATGCCAGCGCAAATTGGTTTGTTGGGATTACAAATGATTTGGACAAGAGACGCAGAGTTGGCTTTAATGCAAGCTAGGCATGATAAAAAAATGATGCCTGAAACAAATAATAAATTTTTAGAGTTATTGAATACTCTGATTGATCAAACTACAAGAGATTTGACAAAAATAGAACGAACTAAATTTGAAACGTTAATTACGATTCATGTGCATCAAAGAGACATTTTCGACATTTTGGTAATTAAAAATTCTAATGTAAACTATATTTATATTAAAACAATTATTTTTAGTGTCGATTGAACGTTCGTCATGTAACTGACTTCGAATGGTTGAAACAATGTCGATTCTACTTTAAAGAAGAACAAGACAAAACTTTGATCATTATAACTGATGTGATTTTCTCCTATCAAAATGAATATTTAGGCTGTACTGATCGATTGGTCATTACCCCATTAACCGACAGATGTTATATTACTCTAGCACAAGCATTAGCTATGAGTATGGGTGGTGCACCGTGTGGTCCTGCTGGAACAGGAAAAACAGAAACTGTCAAAGACATGGGTAAAACTCTAGCGAAATATGTGGTTGTGTTTAATTGTTCCGACCAAATGGATTATCGTGGTTTGGGCAGGATTTATAAAGGACTAGCGCAGTCTGGCGCTTGGGGTTGTTTCGATGAATTTAATCGAATCGAGTTGCCTGTTCTGTCAGTTGCAGCGCAACAAGTTGCTGTGGTTCTATCGGCTAAAAAAGACAAAAAGAAATCATTTGTTTTTACTGATGGAGATATTGTCGAAATGTGTCCTGAATTTGGTATTTTTATCACAATGGTAATGATTAAATACATAGTTCATATAAAAATATAAAAATAAATAAATTTTAGAATCCTGGTTACGCAGGACGTAAAGAACTTCCCGAGAATCTTAAAATTCAATTTCGAACTGTTGCTATGATGGTGCCTGACCGACAAATTATTATCAGAGTAAAACTTGCCAGTTGTGGCTTCTTGGAAAATATTACGTTGGCTCGAAAGTTCTATACCCTTTACAAATTGTGCGAGGAACAATTGACAAAACAAGTAAGTATTTATCAAAACTTTTCAATTGAGTTTGTAACATTTGCTCAATACAATTCAATCCTTGAAGGTCCATTACGACTTTGGTTTGAGAAATATTCTCTCGGTGTTGCGAAGTTTGGGCGCTGCTAAACGAGTAAACAATAAAGACACCGAGAGTACTATTGTGATGAGAGTTTTAAGGGATATGAATTTGTCCAAACTGATTGATGAAGATGAACCATTGTTTATTTCTTTGGTTGCGGATCTTTTCCCGAATCAGGCTTTAGAGAAAACTGTTTACGCCGATTTGGAGCAAGCTATTAATGATGAAGTTGAAAAAGCCGGACTAATTAATCATCCACCTTGGGTTTTAAAATTAATTCAAGTAAATAATATTATTTTAAACTTATTTTTATAAAATTATAAATTATAATTACAGTTATATGAAACACAAAGAGTTCGTCATGGTATAATGACTCTTGGACCTTCAGGAGCTGGAAAAACTACTTGTCTACAAACTTTGATGAGATCTTTGACAGAAATGGGTTTTTATCACAGGGAAATGAGAATGAATCCGAAAGCTATAACAGCAGCACAAATGTTTGGTCGACTTGACGTGGCAACAAACGACTGGACAGACGGAATATTCTCTGCTTTATGGCGTAAAACACTCAAACTCAAACATGGCGAACACGTTTGGATTGTTTTAGACGGACCTGTAGATTCTATCTGGATAGAAAACTTAAATTCTGTCCTTGACGATAATAAAACTCTAACTCTTGCCAATGGAGATCGCCTATCAATGGCACCAACAGTAAAAATCATGTTTGAGCCTCATAATATTGACAATGCTTCACCAGCGACTGTTTCACGCAACGGAATGGTTTACATGAGTTCATCCGGTCTTAATTGGAAACCTGTGGTTGTTGCATGGCTTAAAAAACGCAGCCAAAAAGAAAAAGATGTACTGGATCCTTTGTTCGAAGAAACATTTCTATCTATTTATGCCTGGTGCACTCAAAACTTAAATTTAGTTATGAATGTTTTACAGTGTAACATAACACAACAAGTGTTATGTCTCCTAGAAGGTTTAATACCAATACAAGTTCAAGAAGAGGAAGTAGATGTAAAACCAGAAAACGATTTGGATGATGACCTCGGAGAGGAAACCGAAGTTAAAGAAACTGTTAAAATATACACTGATGACCACCTTCGTAAAATATATGTTTTTGCACTCACGTGGGGCTTAGGTGCATTTTTAGAAAACCAAGACCGTAAAAAATATGACCACCATATACGTACTAACTATAAATTGGACATACCCAAACGAAATCCAAAAATTGAAGACACAGTATTTGATTATGTTGTAGATGAGGATGGTAATTGGCAACCGTGGACAAACTTAGTTTCAAATTATGTTTATCCAGAAACAGCAACACCAGAATTTGCCGCTATTTTGATTCCTATCATAGACAACGTACGAATAAATTATTTGATTGAATGTATTGTCAAACAAGACAAACGTGTTATACTCATTGGTGAACAAGGTTCTGCCAAAACCGTTATGATGAAGTCTTTTATGAAGAATTGCAACCCAGAGCAGTACCTCAATAGAGCATTCAACTTCTCCAGTGCTACTACACCCTACCAATTCCAGAAAACAATTGAAAGCTATGTTGAAAAACGAATGGGTAGTACATTTGGTCCACCTGGTGGCAAGAAAATGATTGTATTCATTGATGATATCAATCTACCAGAAATTAATTGTTGGGGTGATCAAATAACGAACGAAATTGTTAGACAGACAATTGATATGGGTGGATTCTACAGTTTAGAAAAGCCTGGTGACTTTACAAGTATAACAGACGTACACTTCGTGGCTGCTATGAGTCAACCAGGTGGTGGTAGAAATGATATTCCGTCAAGATTGAAACGACAATTTAATATTTTCAATTGTTGCATGCCTACGGATCAAAGCATTGATAAAATCTTTGGAATAATTGGTCAAGGGCATTACAACTCAAAACGAGGTTTTGCTGTTGATGTAAGAAATATGATCAAGAAATTAGTTCCTCTTACAAGAACACTTTGGAGAATTACCAGGGAAAAGCTACTACCTACTCCTGCTAAATTTCATTACGTGTTCAGTTTACGAGATTTGTCGAAAATTTGGCAAGGCATGGTTGGCACTCTGCCAACTGTAATTGAATCTGATGCTTGTTTACTGATTCTGTGGAAACATGAATGTACAAGAGTGTTTTCCGACAGGTTTACTATCATGGACGATAAGACTTGGTTCGATGAAGCTTTGTTAGACTTAGTAGAACGAGAATTGGGAGCTGACAATAGAGTCAAAGCAGAACCATCGCCAGTTTTTGTTGATTTTATGAGAGATGCTCCGGAACCAACTGGAGAAGAAGGTGAAGATGCAGATATGGAGTTACCAAAAGTGTATGAACCAGTTTTTAAAGATCAAGATCTACGTGATCGGCTGGATATGTTCTTGGCACAGTTTAACGAAATGGTACGGGGTGCAGGTATGGATTTAGTGTTTTTCCCGGACGCCATGTTGCATTTGGTGAAAATATCAAGAGTTATCAGACATCCAAGAGGAAATGTTATGTTGGTGGGTGTTGGAGGTAGCGGAAAACAGTCGCTAACTAAATTATCTTCATTCATTGCTGGATATAAATCTTTCCAAATCAGTTTGACACGTTCATACAACATAGGCAACTTCTTAGAAGATTTGAAAGTGTTGTATAGATCTTGTGGTTGTCAAGGAAAAGGCACCACCTTTATATTCACTGATTTAGATATAAAAGAAGAAGGTTTCTTGGAATACTTAAACAATATTCTCTCATGCGGTGTTATATCTAACTTATACAACAAAGATGAACAGGCAGAGATTATTCAAGAGCTAAGTCCAATTATGCGACGAGAAAATCCCAAACGTACATTAAATCACGAAGTCGTCATGGAATACTTTATGAATCGCACTGTACAAAATCTACATGTTGTATTCTGTTTCTCACCAGTTGGTGAAAAGTTCCGTACGAGAGCTCTGCGTTTCCCAGCATTGATAACAGGTTGCACAATTGATTGGTTTCAACCATGGCCTAAAGATGCACTAGTCTCCGTAGCACAACATTTCCTCACGGAATTCCAAATCAAATGTACGGATGAAATAAAACTGGAACTTGTTAATGCTCTGGGTGGTATTCAAGATGAAGTTGCTGAGACTAGTGCTGAATATTTTCAACGCTTCCGACGTGCTACGCATGTCACTCCAAAGAGTTATTTAAATTTTATTGCGGGTTATAAAAGCATTTACAGCTGTACTAAAGACGAATTAAGTAATGGCGCACTGCGAATGGATACAGGATTAGAAAAACTAGCGGAAGCAAGTATATCAGTCGGATTATTAAAGAAGGATTTGGCAGTAATGGAGGAAGAGTTGGCAGAAGCTTCCAAAAGGGCTGAGAAAGTTTTAACTGAAGTTACAGATAGAGCTATGCAAGCTGAACAAGTGAAGAATCAAGTACAAATTGTTAAAGAAAAGGCTCAGGCTTTAGTTGCACAAATTAATCATGAGAAAGCAATCGCTGAAGAAAAATTGGAAGCTGCAAAACCTGCTTTAGAGGAAGCGGAGAGTGCTTTGAATACAATTAAACCGGCACATATTGGTAAGCAAAAATTCCGGTCTAATTTTTACCTGGGTTCCCCTATTCCAAAAAGGGGACATGTGTCACCTAAATAGTACTTATTTCAAAATAACTAGATGGCGTTCTTATATTTCTTACACGGAATTCTAACATCTTTTCGTTATATAGTCAAAGATGGGTATGACTCATCAGCTTTGCGCAGAGGCGATATCGTAACCAATGAGGTTTATCCGAGGTGCGATTATTGCTAGTTGAAAACTTTACCAATACCCCGCCATGAGGCTGTGAAATACCAGCCGCTACGGCAATTTTTGGGAGTCCCTAGCGGGACCTATAAAATAAACCAAATATAATTGTAATACTCTTATTCTTTTAGCAACTGTTAGGAAACTTGGTAGACCTCCACATTTAATTATGCGAATCATGGACAGTGTTTTGATTTTATTCCAACGTAAACTTCATGCTGTGATATCAGATCCAGCGGCACCGTCGCCAAAACCATCTTGGGCTGAATCATTAAAAGTAAAAACAATAAAAGACGGTTTTATTTATTTAATTATGCAAATATTTACTGTTTATAGTTAATGGCATCTGCAACATTTCTCCTCCAGTTGCAAAATTACCCTAAAGATTTCATAAACGCCGAAATGGTCGACCTTCTCGAACCATATTTTAATATGGAAGACTATAACATGGACACAGCTAAACGCGTGTGCGGAGATGTCGCTGGCCTTCTGTCATGGACCAAAGCAATGTCGTTCTTCCACAGCGTCAATAAAGAAGTTTTGCCGTTAAAAGCGAATCTCCGCTTGCAGGAAGCGCGTCTGAAAGTAGCAATGGAGGATTTGGCAAATGCTGAGCGAGAATTGGAGGAAAGAGAACAGTCGTTAATGGCCGTCAAGGCACAGTACGATACGGCAGTAATGGAGAAACAACGACTGACTGACGCTGCCAACAATTGCTTGAGGAAAATGAACACTGCGACGGCATTGATTAACGGATTAGGCGGCGAGAAGATACGTTGGACGATGCAGAGTAAGGAGTTTAAGGAACAATTGGGTCGACTTGTCGGTGATGTTGTATTAGCAACCGGATTTCTATCTTATTGCGGCCCATATAATCAAGAATTTCGTGCAAATCTCGTAAACACATGGATGGAGATATTAAGTTCAAAAGAAATCCCATTCACGAAAAACTTAAATATTACTAATATGTTAGTAGAAAATTCAGTTGTTTCCGAATGGACTCTTCAAGGTTTACCTAACGATGAACTTTCCGTGCAAAATGCGCTGATTGTAACAAAATCACGCTCGTATCCATTGTTAATTGATCCTCAGACGCAAGGTAAAATGTGGATCAAAAACAAAGAAGCGAATAATAATCTGCAGATTACTTCGCTGAACCATAAATATTTTAGAACTCATTTAGAAGATTGCCTTTCTTTAGGTAATGCAAAGATAAAGTAATAAAACGACGTTTACAAATGTATACAATTTACAGGAAGGCCTCTACTGATAGAAGACATTGACGTCGAGTTAGATCCAGTAATCGATAATGTCTTAGAGAAGAACTTCATTAAATCTGGCTCCATTGAGAAGGTTATTGTCGGAGACAAGGAGTGTGACGTCATGAAAGGATTTATGTTGTACATAACTACGAAGTTGCCGAATCCACCCTACTCCCCGGAGATTAGCGCTAAGACGGCGATTATTGATTTCACTGTCACGCGATTAGGTACCTACAGTTTAATTTAATTTCGTATCAAAGTGAACCGTAATTGATGATATGCGAATATTACAGGTCTTGAAGATCAACTTCTTGGTAGAGTTATATTAATGGAAAAATCTGATTTGGAAGCTGAAAGAGTTGCTCTCTTTGAAAGCGTGATGCAGAATCAGAAACGCATGAAAGATTTAGAAACGAATCTTTTATGTCGTTTAAATTCAACGCAAGGTTCTTTAGTAGACGACGAAGAACTTATAAATGTATTGCAAGTGACAAAAACCACAGCGGAAGAAGTCAATGAAAAACTATCTGTTTCTGTTCATACTGAAAGAAAAATTAATACGGCTCGTGAAGAGTTTCGGTCAGTTGCGGCCCGTGGTTCAATTCTTTACTTTTTGATCGTGGAGATGAGTAATGTTAATGTAATGTATCAAAACTCTTTGAAACAGTTTCTGAATATCTTCGATAATTCCATTACAAAATCCGAGAAAAGTTCTGATACCGATGAACGAATCGATATTATTTTGAAGTATTTGACGTACGAGGTGTGGAAGTTCACGCAGAGAAGTCTTTATGAGAAACACAAAACTTTGTTTACGTTGATGATGGCTATGAAGATTGATTTACAGAATAATGTTATCACACATGATGAATTTTTGGCTTTTATTAAAGGCGGCGCTTCACTGGATTTAAATGCAGTTGTACCGAAACCATTTAGATGGATTTTGGATATTACATGGTTGAATTTGGTGGAAATTAATAAACTGGAGAGTTTTAAAGAAATATTAAATGATGTACGTGAATTCAAACAATTTAAATTACTATTTAATACTGATAAATTACTGATAATTTTAGATCGGTGACAATGAAAAAGAATGGCGTGTTTGGTATGAGAAAGAAAAACCGGAACAGGAAATAATTCCATGTGGATATGAGAAATCCTTAGATGTTTTTCGAAAGCTATTATTGATTAGAAGCTGGAGTCCAGATAGAACTGTGTCTCAAGCTAGACAATACTTAATGGGTACAGTTTTGTATACATATCATGATTTCTTGTACTTATTAAGCTGGATTTTTAGATTCATTGGGTCCTCAGTATGGAGAAGCTTGTTTGCTAGATTTAGAAGTAACTTGGCTTGAATCTGAACCACGCACACCGCTTATTTGCATTTTATCAATAGGATCTGATCCCTCACCACAAATAACCACCTTAGCAAAAACTAAAGAAATACCATTAAAATCAGTATCAATGGGTCAAGGACAAGAAGTTGTTGCTAAAGATATGATAGAGACGTCTATGGCCGATGGCGGTTGGGTGTTGTTACAAAACATTCACTTATCGTTACCATTTGCCACCGATGTAATGACAATGGTCATAGACACAGAAAGCGTGCATGAAACTTTCCGTGTTTGGCTGACGACAGAAGTTCACGAACAATTTCCTATCGGATTGCTACAAATGGCAATCAAATTCACGAATGAACCTCCGCAGGGCATTCGTGCTAGTATGAAACGGACCTATCAAAGCATCACACAGGATTATTTGGATTATTCCTCGCAATATCAATGGCCACCATTATTGTATGCTGTTGCGTTTATCCACACAGTAGTGCAGGAGCGTAGGAAGTTTGGTCCACTTGGCTGGAACGTTCCGTACGAATTTAATCAAGCGGATTTTGCGGCTTGCGTTCAGTTCGTGCAAAATCATTTGGATGACATGGATTCCAAGAAGGGAGTTTCATGGCCGACTATTTGTTATATGTTAGGAGAAGTTCAATATGGCGGAAGGGTTACTGATGATTTTGATAAACGCTTATTAACCACATTTACTCAAGTCTGGTTTTGTGATGTGCTATTACGGCCAGGGTTTGAATTCTACAAAGGTTATAAAGTCCCACAAACACGAAATTTACAAGGGTATATTGATTATATCAATAGTTTGCCTGCGACGGATACTCCAGAAGTGTTTGGATTGCATTCGAATGCAGATATTACTTATCAAATCAACAGCGCGAAAGGTAGGCTAAAAAAGTTTAAAACCCTGTATAAACTTAAACTTTTCCCAATTTAGGTATACTTGATACTATATTGAGCGTTCAACCAAAGGAAGGTGGTAGTCAAGGTGGTGAAACACGCGAATCAATTGTTTATTCACTAGCTGAAGATATGCTCGAAAAGTTACCGCCACAATACAATAGTTTCGAAGTGAAAGAAGCTTTACAGCGAATGGGAGCTTTGTTACCTATGAACATATTTCTCCGACAGGAAATCGATCGCATTCAAAAAGTGATTAAAGAAGTTTACAACACGTTATGCGATTTGAAGTTGGCTATAGACGGCACTATTGTTATGAGTCAGGCATTAAGAGCTGCATTGGATGCAATGTACGATGCACGAATACCTGACCGATGGTTAAAAGTACGCATTCAATTTTAGCTTTTATTATTCCAACGCGGTGTAAAATATAAATGTTAACATTTTACATTTTAAGATATCTTGGGAATCAGCAACACTTGGTTTTTGGTATACAGAGTTGTTGGAACGCGATGTACAATTCCGCAACTGGTGTGAAAAAGGCCGTCCTAACGCGTTTTGGATGACAGGATTTTTTAATCCACAAGGATTCTTAACAGCAATGAGACAAGTTAGTCTAAGTTAAATACTTAGTCTGGAATGTTATTTAACATTATTTGTATTCCAGGATGTAACTAGAGCTCATAAAGGTTGGGCACTTGACTCCGTTGTTCTGCAAAATCAAATTACAAAACATAATCGCGAAGATATTAAAGAAGGTCCCACAGAGGGAGTGTATGTCTATGGCTTGTTCCTAGAGGGTGCCAGTCTAGACCGGAAAAGTGGAAAGTTGATTGAGAGCAGAATCAAAGTGCTATATGAACAAATGCCGGTCATTTACATATACGCAATAAACACGACCGCCGGTAAAGATCCTAAATTATACGAATGTCCGATTTACCGAAAACCGCAACGTACAGATCAAAAATATGTTGGATCCATTGATTTTGAAACAGATCACAATCCAAGACATTGGACACTTAGAGGTGTTGCTCTGTTGTGTGACATCAAGTAAAAACACACTTTTCTCAAATTACCAGTAATGTGCAATTATTTCTGAAGTAAAGGCATTAAAGTTAGTGATAAATTATACATTAAATGAAACATAATTATAGAATGAGTCAAAAAAGCTTCCAGATGAAAATAAACACTATAGTTTATGCTTTCAATGCTGCTTTCATTTGCATTTGTTGATATTGCTGTTGCAATTTTTGAATATTGCCCTTGTATGAGTCCTGTTTCTTCTCCAGTCCTTCAATTTGTGTATCAATACGTTCAAGTTCTTTGGTGATGAAGGCGATACGTTTGGTAATATTTTGCTTGGCTTCACTGAGTTCAGTTTTGATTAAAATAGGGCCCAGTGATTTATACACTACTGCCTCAGATTTTAATAGATTCAACTCATCCTTTACTATTTTATTCTCATTTAATTGACCATCCAGTTGTTGTCTATTTGTGATTGCCTTTTGTAGTTCTAAAATATAACAATAAAATCAATTGGTAAAAGAACTATTACCTTTTATGGAAGTGTAGTGGGTAGGGAATGATTTGAGGCACCTTTTTGCGACGCTTTGAAATTTTCAACTTCACTTTGCAATTTCCGCTGTATTTCTTCACCCATTTTGATTGCAAATAGATATTATTTAAATAAAACTACACAAAAAGCCGGAGATTACGAATTTGTTGAGGGCTTGTGCCAATGTGAACACATAACCTGCAGAAATGATTCGATCCCGGCGATGCGGTCTTTTGCATGCACCTCTTCGTAAGTAGGCAACTTTGCTTGCATGAATGTAAGAAATCCTGTAATTGTAACCTGTAATTTATCCCTTGCGCATTAAATGCGAAAGTTTATCGAAACTTGATTAAAAATAATGAATTACCTACTGAAAACTGCTTCAACATTACTCCAAGATACCAGCACATGCTTAGGCAGTAAGCATTTTTTAATACGCTTGAACTGAATTTCATATTTTTTAATTTCAGTCATTGCCAGAAATGCAAGTAAGAAAGCAGGAGGAAGTACACGAAATACAAGCCCAAAAACGAAAGCAAAACATCGTGGCCTAAAACGAAATGAGGGTCATACCGTCACCGAAGGCACTATTTTAGTTCTTCAAAGGCAGTTGCGTTTTCATCCTGGTTTAAATGTAGGTTTTGGTAGAAATGGAACTTTATTTGCTTTGGTTCCTGGTAGAGTGATGATCACATGTGAAAAAGTTGATTTAAATTGGGATCATACATGGGTCCAAGGAAATTACAAAAATAGAGGCACAGAGTTCTTTAAGAAATATTTAAATGTTCTGCCAGAGAAGCAACATCAAAACTTTAAATTGATAGATCAAATTTAAATTGTGTGACATGTAATTATTTACCAAACCATTTAATAGTAATATAGTTTACTTTACCATCTTGTAAATAACTTATAACACCTTTCTTTCTTACTGTTGTTGCCACCCTTCCCAAAACCACAAGTTCTGTGGGATAAACAGTTTCATTTTCATTTAAGCATCTTACAATATAATTAGAGTGGTAAAATATAGGATCCCCTGGATAAACCAGAAAATCACCACCAAAGTTTGCTCCTGAAGTTATGTAGAACTTTCTTTCCCAGAAGTTTTTAAATGTTTCATATTTTATGAGTGTTGTAAATTTCCAAAGAAGATCCTTGTCAAGTAATTTTGCAGAGTCTAAAATGAAAATATGTATATATTTAAGGTATTTGTCTCTTGCCCTGAACTTACTTTTGTCAAATTTATGTTTGAAAATAGGCCAAACCAACTTCTTTTCATTGATTACAAGTTTACTTAATTCTCCATCAATGATTTCTTTTTCAGATCTCATATCTCCTTTTTTTCTCTTCCCAGCCATAATTTTGTGAATGTTTTGTTGCAATTGTTTTAATCTAAGCTCCTTATAATATTCAGTTTCAACTTCAAATAGTCTCTTTTTAAATGCTTCAAGTTCATCATTGGTTGTTTGTTCCTCTGTGTATGAAACAAGTCTGCCAATGCCTTTTTCAATTAACAAGAGGGCTTCTTCTGGTAGTAATAATAAAGGTAATACTATAAAAGGAATAAAAATAAGAAATACAATAATATCGAAGGTACAATATTTACCTGATTTATGTTTATTGTGTCCAAATAACTGCCCAACAAGTCTAAACTCTTTTCTGAGCTTTTCCCAATCTGTAAAGAATTATAATTAAATTCATTGCATGTAGCAATATAAATTTATACCATCAACATCATAAATAAATGCATTTTCACTGTGGTATACTATATCAATCATAATAACTCTTGTTTTCTGTAACAATTCTGTAACAACTTAATAACACAATTTGAACTACTGTTCAGTAAGGTTATGTACATTTATATTTTTCAAAACACCTGGAAAATCAGAGAAAGCCATAATTGGGGACTTAAAAAACTTTTCTAATTTGTACCACAATTATAAACATATTTGCAGATTGAATGAATTTAGATTAATTCCATTTTCTGTGTTCAGTATATTTTGGGGTCCAGGAGGTGGCGCCATCACCGGTCAAATTCATGACATAAAAGTCCTTGAATTAAATAAATTCTTTATTTGATTATAGATTTTTCTCTCTGGTTACAATAACATAATAAATTATTACAATATAGTCACATTTAAATATTTCTGGAACATGTATTTACCTTATTCAAAAATTTAAAGCTTTTAAGAATTGAATTACATATTATCAGTAATGTCTTTATATCTTCATATACTTAAGATTGAATAAAAATGAATTATCGACATTAAATTATCTTATTTTTATGATTCATTGTTATTATCTGTTTCTTCTTTACTAGCATCTTTTGATTCTGTGTTTGAACTTTCTTCCAATTCTGAACTTACTGGTTGTACTTCATCTTCTTTTGATGCAGAGCTACTTTCCCCGTAAATTTCATGCAAGTTGTCTAATCTGTCAGATATATTAGAGCCCCTTAATTTTGTGTGCGTTACTTTTTGAAATAATTCATTGCTTTCTCGCTCGAGACGTTGTAGACGTTCTTCACGCGCAGCAAGTATTTCTTCCGGTGTCCTATTGGACTTGTTTACTGAGGACGGAGGGGCAGAAGCTGACAACGCTGTTGTTTCTGCTACTGAATTATTTTCTACCTTTTGCTCGTTTAATGATAAATTGGAAATGAGTGATTCACTAAGAGAATCAGTCTCCTTCGTAATCTCTTTATCTATATCAACTTCCAGTCTTTGTTCTGTAGTCTTATCATTTGTACAATTTTTTGTTTGTATTGGGACTTTTCTAATCGCTCCCGTTGACGTTGATGGACTTATTGTTGGACTTACAGTAGTACTTACTTCTGGCGAGCTGACATTATTATCTTCTGGCCGAATATTTGTAGCGATTTTGTCCTCCGGATATTCAGTATTCATGTCTTGGAGCGCTGAAGCATTATCATCAGCGTTAAGGGGATCAACATTGGGTTCGCATTCGTGATGTTCTTCGCCAATTTCCATCTCATTGTGCTCGTTCCTTTCATCAAATTGTTCGCAACTTTCATCGTCGCGCTGACAAGTCGCTTGAATCGTTGCCAATGGCGCATTATCCAAATCGTCGCAATCGCTTTCCCTTTTGCCGTCGCTGACGTCGCTTTCGTATCCCTTCTCGTCTTCACTGCTGTCCTTATCGTCGCTGTATCCGCTCTCGGCGCTTTGATTGAAATCATCAGCACTCGTCTTACGAGCGGCGAACTCTTTGCGCAATTCTTTCCACTGCTCCTGTGTGCTATCGTTTTTCGCACGCGCCTGTCCCCATTTGTCTCGACAGTATTGCAATTCTTGTTTTAGCTCAGTGAGCAATTTTCTTTTCTCATGTAACTCGTAACGCAAAACTTTCTCGTGGGTGTGCAGTTGATGATGTTGTTTCTGCATTTTTTCAACCTGCGTTCAAAAGTCACATAAACACACTGCACTTGTTTGTATTTTTAACACTTACCACATGCCAGGTTGTAGTTAATTCACCAGAGACGAGCTCCAATCGTTTCTCTTGGTCCTGAAGTCGTCCCTCGAGATGTGTGTTCAGATGTTTCAATCGATACATTTCTCGTTCCAGAAATTTCTTTTCAATTATCAAATCCTAACAGGAAAACACAGTTTTACAATCAGAAGGCAAGCATAATTCGATTAGAGCAACGCCGATGATTGATTGCGGTCCGAATTCAATACGTGCTAAATGCTTCAAACGGTTGTTTACCTTTAGACGAATAAAAGTCTGGCTAACGCTGAGTTTCAATTTGGGCCCCGTGGGAGTCTCGACCGATTTATAGCACGGATCCTTTTCGCCCTCCTTCAGCGCGCTCAGTGGCGGATTCTGATGGCTCAGCAATTCTATCAGGACTTTCCACACTTTCGGCAGATTCTCGACGATCTCAGCGGGACTGTTCAATTGGTGCAGTGCGTTTGCCATGCACTGTTCGTCTGTGGGATGTTTTAATTACACAATCAAATAAAAGAAGTTTCAAGTTAAAGTAGCACAAAGCAAATTGAAAAGTTGCGTTTACTTTCCTTTTCAGTTGGGAATACGTGTTGAATGTATAAACCCAGCCATTTTAAAACTTACCAATGTCTGACTTGGTGTCTGTCTGCTTTTCATTATTAATTTGATTGATCAAGTCCAAAAGTACTTTAGGAAGCGCTGCTGCAGTCGAGTGTGATTCTTCGTTTGAGGCAATGTCTGTCAACAAATCGTGGTTTTCTTCTAAAACACTTCGCAATTTGTCAAAATCGATTTCAGGTGAATTATTAAAGCCTCGCAAAATTTGTGAAAATAACTAGAAATTATAATTAACAATCAATATTTCATCTAAATTACAAATTAAAAATGTTACCTGATTTATTACATCAATTTCAGCTTGTAATTCAGTACATTCTGCTTTAGTTAAACCCAATGTCGATTGCAAACCAGTGATTTGATCATATTTAGTTGAATTGTCTTTTTCAAGTTCTTCAATGCGAGCTAAGCGATCACTATGAATAAAATATGCGCATTAAATCTCTTTGTAGAGTCGCTGTCAACGAAAAACTTTATATTTACCTGCTAATCGTCTGTTCATTTTCAACTTGTTTCTTGCACTCTTCCAGTTGGACTTGTAAATGTTCTTTGTCAATCTTATCCAGACGCTGCCTTTCCTCGTACAGCGTTCTCAAATTGCGAATGTTCCTCAGTTGTTTTTCATACTCTTCCCGCAATCCGTCCGACATGATTTTCATTTCCTTTGATGCGAGCAACTCTTCAACGGTTTTAACTTTTTCTTTAAGCTGCAACAGGCATTGTGAATTTTAAATAGTTCATTTTTGTTTACATTACGCCGGCTTCCTTTTCATACTCACTCCTTCGATTTGCGCCTCGCGTATTTCGAGCATGTTTTTCGTGACATTAACCACGTCTTTCAATGCCGTGATGTGTTTGGAATACTCGAGGCGCTCTTGTTCTATATTTAGCATTTCCGAGTTGAGCTTTTGGACATCCAGCTGCATTTCCGACACGGTTATTCTTAGTTCCCTATTTTTCGTGTTCACTTCCTCTCCATTCTTTAGTAGTATTTTCAATTTTTCTACTTGCAACTTGAGCTCTTCGTTTTCTTCCATCAAATTTTCTATTTTACCTTGTAATTTTAAATCTGGAGAACTCGCTATGGGATTTGGGACTTGACTTTTTTGTGATTTCAACATTTCGTTTTCTTCTTTGAGTGCTTGTAGTTCGTCTTTCACTTGTTGAAACTCTCTTCGCTTTTCTGCAATTAGTTCTCTGCGTTTTTCGTGTTTTCTTTCCAATTCTAGCTTAAACTCCTCTAGATTTCTTTGTAATTGTTCTCTATGTTCTTCTCTTTCATTGCTGGATGTTCCCGGCGTTTCGGATTGGTTGTTACTCATGTTTTCTCTTGTTATGGTCGGTGCACTTTGCGGATTCCAGAACGGATCATCACTGAATGCATTCGAATTCGTGTTGGCCTCGCCACTTCGCACGTTGCCCATTTTCGGACTCTTATATAGCTACACCGAAAACATAAACAGTGAAAAACACTTAATCGTCTGGTATTGTGGAGAAAACAACGACTTTTGGATTGGTAACACTTGCCAACAATTATGATGCGTGTTCTTATTTATAGCGAATTTACGTATTTTCTGAGACAATTCCGTCTGATACAAAAATTGCGTTGTATTCGCCGAATCTACGTATGTTATACAAACACTCAAAGCAATCATTAGCAATGATGTGACTTACCTTTTAAAAATACTCAAAAACAAATAACTTTTGGACTTTTCACAAGACGCACAAGAGACAACACGTTTTCTATAAAATTTCTATCAAAATGCGTACCTATTGTTGAATTGCCTCGTGAATTTCGTGTACTGTGGATCGTTCGTTCGCGTCTACGAAACTGAATATAAATAGCGCCTTTTAGTTTCAACCACGTCACGACTAGCACGACTTATGCCAAATTTATAAATACTTTTCCCGGCATCCTTCGCTTAATGCTTTCCACTCTTCACAGTCTAGACGTACATTTGAAGATTCTGTCAGAGATAAAGCTCGTTTGATACTTTGCAAATTTATTGCATAATAAAATTCTACACATTGACATCGTTCAATAACGATCGTTTTTCCTAAAACCAAAAATTTTCAACACATTTTTTATAAATACATTTTTGCACTACAAAAATAATGAAAACAGTGCTAGAAATGTAAAATATGATATTACAGCTATAAAACCGTCAAAAGATACAAGCACATGTTTTACAATGCGGTAAAAATCTAGAATTTTTTGGATAACATCTTCATGGTCCCCCATCTTCCTGGCATGTATCGCACATGAGTCCTTTTGTATGACTGTTTCATTTATTTTTGTCTATGAATAATGACTGGTCGTGGTCGTCGAAATAATACGCCCGATTGTATGAAACTGCTCGTTTCGTCCCATCATAGTTGGCGCACTATGTCTCGTGCTTTTTTCGCATACCTCCCAGTCCGATAATCCCGACTTCCTCCACGAGGCGTCCCGATCCCGGGCGATGTGCGCCTTTTTTATACGCAAACGGCGCGTTTCGCACGCGACTTTTCGCCGCCGCCAGTCATATAATTAACAGCACACTAATTAACTCTACTCGCGGACGCCACTGCATTAAAAGCTCAGCGGTGCTGAATCGATTAAAGCGCGCTAAAATCGTACTCGGTTTATCGCATGTAAATCCCGCACGCGTTTCTCTTCTCGCATCGCAATGAAGTAAGTAACAAGACGTGCGAATTACACGCTTAATTAAGCGCCCAATTTCATTCACGCAAAATTTGCCAAAATGTATTTCCTCTTTCAGGTCGTGGAGTATTTTCGGTCTTGTCTGTGCGGGCATGGTGGTTATTTGCTTACTGTCGACGGCGGAAGCGAAGCGAAGAAATGAAAATACAGATATGGATGTTGATGCATCACGTGCGATGAAGAGCAAAAACAGTAGACACGAGTATAATAAGTATAGTCGCGAGTTTTCCGATGAAAGTATGCACAAACAGAAGCAGAAGGCGAAGAAAAACAGCAAAAGGTTGCAATTGGATTTGGACAACGTGAACGAAGATGAACTCACCAGTGATGAACTGCAAGTGTTAGAGTATAGAAGGAAGAAACTCGAGCGACAAAATAAGAAAACTTTAGGCGACGTGTTTCAAGAAAAGAAGCAGAAGAATAAGCAACGGAAGGAGAAATTCGAGAAGCACGTGCTGAAACATTTGTGAGTTACTTATATATTATTTTCACACATTTCACAGATAAAAAGAATACTTTTTTTCACTTTGTATTAAAATGAGATACATTCTATGAGTATGATTGCGTACACTTTTTAAACAAGCGAATTATTTCTGGCTTTAATGAGTTGGACAATTTTGACGGCCAACCTAGATGCCAAGAATTTCAGCTCACTCATAATCATCAACAATACCAACTAATTACATATTATATGCTATGTTAAAGCAGTTGGCAAATAAATATTTTGTAAATTAAATAATTTATGTATTTGTTTACAGCAAACGAGGCGATGAAAGTGCCGACGAAGCAACAAAATCATCAGAGGAAATAATCACACCTTTGAAGCGTGTGAAACTCAGTCGAAACGACCCGGATGAGTGTAATTCTTCAGAAGAAAAGTGTCCTTGAACTTTAAGATAGAATTGCGACCAGAAATACGAATGGGAAATGTTTAAAAAATTATCACGAAGCAGATCGCATTTTCTAATACACTTAATAATCTTCCATTAGTTTTTAAAATTAAAACTAACACCATATCAAACGAGAAAATAATAAATCTTAAATCAAAGTGGAGTCATAAAAATTCCATGTTCACGGTACAATTTTTTAAGTGCTTAAATTTAATTTTAAACTTTATAAGTAATTGTATAGTTGTAAAATTAATATATTTACTGTACCTAACGCACACGTGAGTAGCTTTGTCTTATTGCACAAGTACAATTTCCGTCAAGTGCGAACCGAATGTAATTTGCATTGCGTGCCAACTCCGAAGCGCACAACACTACAGTAATTACACCGCATTAAAAAATACTTATTTCGACTTTGTCATTGAAAGAACAAGAATCGGGAGTTAAAAAACGTGAAATATTGAACTTTGTTTTAAAAATAGGAATAATCGTTGAAGGAAAAAGACAAAACTTAAGAATAGACGAATGAAGCGTGCCAATTTCTTAACATTTGTACTATTTTACACTAAAAATAAAATGGCGATAAACACATGTATCATTATCATTTAAAAATTGAAATATCGTTTGGAATTGTTTCAAATTCAATAATAAACGTCATTTAAAAACTACATAAACATAAGTTGATTGTATAAATAGATCACAACACAAACATTAATTTGTAACTATTAGTAACATTATAATTCACAGGAAACACATTTTACACATGAACAAAACACTCCAATACGACTAGTACAACATTGTGATACAGTAATACCACGAAACCAAATCAAAACAAAACGAAACACGATATAAAAACGCATTACAAACAAACAAACACAAATTTAAATGTAAAATACTCTATATTATGGATTTTTATAAATATAAGTTGTAAATATAAGTATATAATAAATATAATTGATTAGTTACATCAACATTGTCAATCAAACATTAATTTACAAGCCAAAATGTAAAAATTGTCACATTTCAACTCTAAATTTAAAAAAATTTGTATTCATAGCCAGTTAAAAACGTAATTAATCATGTGAAGTGTACCGTTGCCAATATAACTAGTGTCAAAGATAAAAACTACAAACATCAATTGAACGTATGACTCTCAACTCAAAGATTCTTAAAGACTTCTATTAATACATACTTTAAACATACACACACACATCGTAAACCTGCAGCTTGCATAAACATTTATAGTCGCAAAATTCGGCATCACTTCAATCAACTGAAGCGTGAAAATCTAAATGAGTACGACGGTGCAGAGCGGCAAATGAGTCCCATGACTACTTGGCATAATTAATACGTTTTACAACATTATTTATGATAGATAGTGTCAAACGTAATTTTTCACGTGCAGCCGGCGAGCGGTGACTCGTATTAATAAAACATACAATTTGGCTGTGAGAACAAACAGGACCGCCTGGTGGCGAGCGGGTCGATGCAATTTTTCACTTCGGATTTTATTTGCGTCCTGCAATGTATGTGCGCCCGCACGTTTTAAATCTAACTGGGAACGGAACTCGCCGCACGCACGTGTCGCGTCAATTCGAACAAGTCGTAAACAATTTGAAATATTAAACCGAATTACAATTTGTGTTTATTGCGCCGGATTGCATGCGACATGTGGCTGACGGATTGGCGGTCATTCAAAATTTAAAGGGTTTAACCTTGATGAAAAATATGCAGATGTATAAAAAAGTTTAATTTAGTTTCATTTATTTTAAAATAATTTGAAATTTTATTTCATTTTGTTAATAAATGTTCTTATAATTTAACAAAATTGCGTTAAATTGATTGTAAATATAGCTGGAGTTTATTCTGTGTTTATTTTTTGTTGTCAACATTTTAAACGAGGAAAACCCTATAATAATAGTAATCGAAAAAATCGTGCAGATAATTCTATGCGATTTGACCTCAATGCTTATTTCAAATTATTGAAATTCTTTTGTTCAGACCTACGCTTTAATCCAACAATTTTAAAACGTTAAACAATCAAATTTAAAGGTTGCATAATACCGATTTACAAAAATAAAATAAAATGGACACAATATAATTATTTATATTTAATATAATCGTTAGTGTAATTAGCATTGTTAGTGTTTAATAAGTTAATAATTATCTAAATTACTCATTTGCGGTTATAATACATGCGCGGTTATTTATTTTCAATATTAAGGACATTATGGTAAAAAATAATTCGAACCTAGTTTGTTATTACTCAGCTCAATGTCAACACCATTATCATAAAAGGTTGTTTTAGGAAGTAATGTTACTTCATTAATTGATTATTTATGTAATTCGCTTTAATACAGCGCAAACGCAAAAGTTTCTTGCATTTGTGCGAAAAATAAATATTGAATGCAACTATCAATAATTAAAGACTACACGTTCACGGCCAGCACGTCACTTCCATGTTACATATTTAGAACTTGTATCCAGTTGTACATTTCCTCATTAAATCGATTTCCACTTGACTTTGTGTATCTGGATACATATTTATTTAACATTTGTTGACCTTTTTGATAATATCACCATGATTTTCATATATTTTTAATTTGTAACAGCCAAAACCAGTCAAACATCTAATAAAATTATAGTTTATTTCAATGTTTTATTTATAATAATACTAGGTCATTAACTTTAATAATTGATACCCAGTTAAACCAACAATTACCAAATGGTAAAGGTTCACTAACTATTCGAATCATCCAAATATCAATAAAATGTGTCAGCAAAGATTTAATATTACATAAGAGTGATTATATCGATCAACGTATCTTTGCGCATGTTTCCGATTGAAAATTCAACAAAGCCTCGCATATATTCTACGAACATCAACTCTCGTTTCTCTATTTGCCAGCGTCGTCATGACCAACAAATTGCAATCAAACAAAAGACTTGTGAATTTATTTGACTGCTATAATGTAAAATATCCACCCAATTATTAAAATCAATCAACTAATAAAAATTACGTAAGAATCATGGATGGATACTTTGCTGGTAAGAAAAAATATATAATCGTCACCTAGCATATAATATATGTAATTATCTACACATATGTATGTCTATGTGTTTTACTTGTTAATTTACGACACGCATTGGTAATTTCTCTGAGCACACATAAAATTCGGTGATTCGGTGACTGACTTAAATGTGCGTGTTCCAAGGACGATTTGGGGTAGCTATTCATGTAATCCTAACAATCACCAACCATACGATAGAAGTACGAGTAGATATATTACCATGTTAAAGATATTTTATTCAGTTTAGTGTTGTTTGTGTGACAACAGCTTATCTAAAACAGTTGTCCTAATTTTTGTTTGTGACGCAAAAAAGACTAAAAAGTAAAAAAAATGCTTTATGCAGATCCAACCTACGATGAGGAAACTAAAATTCTTAGTGGGCCTGCGGAGATTTACGTTCCTGATCCAAAAGGTGTTGGACATGCATTTTATACTCAAATGAGACGTAATCGACGAAAAACTGCACAGGTAAAAACAAAATATTTAGTTTAAATTTTTACTTAGTGATTTTAATTTCTTTTAAATTTAGTATCATGTTGAATCTGGAGTTAAAGAATCTTTCGGCAGTATGCTAACTCGATCTATCAATACATCAATTGAAATGCGCAACAGAGGAATCGAACCCGGTGATATAATCTCAATCTGTGCTGGAAATTCAATGGATAATTACATCCCTTTCGTCGCTGCGCAAATGACCGGTGCAATTGTAGCTTCGTTTGATCCTACAATCAGTTTAGTTGATACAGTGCACCTCATGAAGCAAGTGGAACCAAAGATGATTTTTGTTGATCAAAAAAGTGAAATGCTAATTGAAAACGCAATTCGCGATGCAGAAATCAAATGTGAAATGATTGTAATTGGTGAAAGTAATAAATACGACATGTTTTCTGATTTCTGCAGTGAGAAAGACAACATAAATGAATATGAACCACATGCTGTGGATGATTTAAAGACCACAGCAGTTATTCTCTTCAGTAGTGGTACCACTGGTCTTTCGAAAGGGATATCAATTAATCATTATGGAATATTTTATCAAGGACACTTTTTTGTTTATAGTGGATGTGATTTGGATAGATGTTTAACTTTTGCGACAACTTACTGGGTTTCGACGATGGTTTTAATATCTGTTGAAATGCTTTTTGGAAAATGTAGAATTGTTGTGGAGAAATTTAATCCGAAGGATTTGTGGAAAATTTTTGATGAAGCTGGAGTTACTTTTATATTTATGGCACCATCTTCTGCGATTATGCTGTTAAAAACAGGCCGTCCTGATGGTGTGGATACAACTAGTTTAACGGATGTGATTGTTGGTGGTGGGCCACTATCTGCAGAGAATAATCTTGCATTGCGTGATTTGTTACCCGGTACCAATGTGCAATTAATTTATGGTCAATCCGAGGGAGCTGGTATTGTTACAATGTTTCGTATCGGAGACCGCAGAGATGTTTTACAAACGTTTAATAAACCCACATCTTCAGGGAGACCAATTCTAGGTTTTTCTTATAAAGTTAGTTAATTCTTTACACCATATTTTGTTTAATTTTATTTTTTATAATAATGCTTGTATTTAGATTGTGGATCCAGAAACTGACGAAGTCTTAGGACCAAACCAAACCGGTGAGTTGCGCTTCACCTCACAAGGTATGATGAATGGTTACTACGGACGTGAATCCTCTGAAGCATTCGACGAGGATGGATGGATTCGATCTGGAGATATTGCTTACTATGATGAGGATTTCTGTTTCTTTATTGTGGATCGCATCAAGGAAATGTTAAAATTTCAAAGTTTTCATGTTCCACCAGCAAAATTAGAAGGCATCTTAAACTCCCATCCGCAAGTGGCTACGTCAGTAGTGATTGGTATACCGGATGAGCAGGATGGTGATCATCCGATGGGCTTGGTAATCCTTCAGCCTGATGCAACAGTTACAGAAGACGAATTGGTTGAATTTGTTGAGCAAAGAGTAGATGATAGAAATCGTTTAAGAGCTGGCGTTCGTTTCTTTACTTCGTTTCCTTATACTCCTTCGGGGAAAATTAAAAAGAATGTTTTGAAGGCAATGATTTTAGCTGGTGAAATATAAGATAGTATTATTATTATTATTATTATTATTATTATTATTGTTATAATGACAAATGTCTTACTATGAATGTTGGGTGTCACGTTTAATAATATTTCTTGACGTTTTATTTATAAATTGATTGTGGGTGGATAAAAAATTGTAAAATATTAATAATTGCAGTTGTGATCAATTTCTATGTGTGGAAATTAACACTTTTTTTGCTATCAATACACATTGTGATTATAATATGCTAATATACAGCGAGTTGCACAAAGAAGATAAAAATGGTTTTATTTAAGGACAATTAATGTATTCCCACGTTGGCATTAAAAGACTATGTATTAAAAGTCTTGCAAAACAACATGTTTTAGAATTTTATTGCAATGATTGTACTACTTTTGCAGAAATTATTGAGTTTCATGCGCTGGATGTTGTTGTTTAGACATAAAACACCGATCCAATGAACTAATTGAACTAATGGTTTTGCAAACAGTAATAATCAATTGTTTGCGGTGTAATCAGAATCCCAATCACATTTGTTGTTAAATTTGTGAGGTATAAAAGAGGAACTGTTTTTTGCACATTCATGCATAAATTATGGCTACTTCTACAATTCACTATAATCCTGTGAAAAGAGTAATAAATGGAGGACACAAATCTCAAGTTAATTTGGATAATCGTGGTTGTGGGTGGCTTATTTTTGATTCTATGAAGAAGTGGAGTGAAAAAGGATATATTGCTCAAGTAAGTCAATTAATACATTTTCTATGCATATTTTTACAATTCTCATAAATTATATTGCTGCAGATTGAAGAATCAACTGCTTTTGAAGATACTTTTAGTAGTCTTTTAACGCGATGCATAAGAACAGCAATCTCTTTACAAAATCTTAGTATAAAAAAGGGTGATATTATTGCAGTCTGTTCCAATAATCACCTCAACTCTGTTGTACCATTGATTGCTGGTTATTTTATCGGTGCTACAATTGCTCCTACAGATCCATCTCTCTGTGTTGATGATACCAGATATTTATTGAATATGGTTGAACCTAAATTGGTTTTTGTGGCTAAAGAATGTGAAGAATTAATTAGCAAAGCACTTAAAAACAGTGATTTTGATTGTGAGATTATAACTTTTCGAGCGGATTCCGACAAGTTTAAAACCTTTGATACCTTCTTGGAAAAGCAAGATAACGAAGAAGTTTTCGAGCCAGTTGTTTGCGAAGATTTGAATGAAACTTGTTTGATTTTGTTTAGCAGTGGCACAACAGGTTTACCAAAAGGAATATGCTTGAATCATAAATTTGTAATGAATTTAGCGAACGGGTACAGTAAAATAACGTAAATATAATAATTTTATATTTAAAATACATATTTTAGAATGTCTACGATAGATACTGGTAACACATTTCTTGGTTTTGCTTCTCTTTATTGGATTTCCACCATAATGATCATTTGCACTTGTCTTATTTTTGGATACAAACGATTGTTATGCCTTTCGTTTAAACCAGAATTAATTTGGGATATTATTGAAATGTATAGAGTAAGTTCCGCATATACTCCTTATGTTGACACCATTACAATTATGTTTATTTTAAGGTAAATTTTGTTTTTATTTCTCCTGTACAAGCAATAAGAACAGTTCCGTATTTATCTGAAAAAGGAAAAAATCTACAGTACATGATGATTGCAGGAGGGTCAATATCACCACAATACTTACAAGCCTTGCGAGATTCTCTTCCAGATACAATGGTACTCAATAGTTACGGCCAAACAGAAATCGGTTGTATATCTGCACTCAAAGAAAAGAATGAAAACTATTACAAACTCGCAACTTGTGGACAACCAGTACCAGGACTCAAATTAAAAGTATATCTTTTCAATAATATAAAAAAAAAATAAATCAAAAATTTATATAAATTTGTTATGTATTTAGATTGTGGATCCAGATACCGAACTAGTGCTTGACTTAAACCAACAAGGCGAAATTCGCATCAAACCCTTGTGTCCCATCAACGGCTATTACAAACGAGACTCCTCTGACGTTTGGGACACCGAGGGATACATGAAGACCGGCGATCTCGGTTACTTCGACGATGACTTGTGCTTGTTCGTGACTGATAGGGTCAAAGAGATGTTCAAGTACATGTCGTATCACATCGTGCCCTCCAAATTGGAAATGATACTGCAGAGTCATCCTGAGGTCGAGTTAGCTGTCGTTATCGGTATACCGCATCCCACAGAAGATAACCATGCTTTAGGGATTGTCACTTTACAAGCAGGAGGAGATGTTTCTTCGGGCGAGTTAGAAAAGTATGTCGAGGATCGTGTCGATGAAAGAAATCAATTAAGAGCTGGGGTATTAATTGTTGATTCTGGTTCACTTCCGATGACTCCAACAGGCAAAATTAAACGCAAAGAATTACGAGATGCGTTGATAAGAATTCAACGTATTCGTCCATAGATTGAATTTAAATATATTTTTATTTTATGAATATTCATCATTAATAAATCATAAATGTACTTTGATTCATGATTTTTAAAATTATTTCTGCTCTTACGTAGTTACAAAATGGTTACAATATTACGATAAGTCTAGATGTTTGTTGATAATGTGACTCAGCATCTTTGGTGCACGAAACGATTTAATATAAAGTGGAACATCATTTTTGATTTACTCGAGGTCATTTACAGATCAAATATTAGAAAGTGCGATTACACAGCGGAGTTAGTTGACGAATAAACATTATCTCGGCTAGTTGTAGACTGATAAACAAGAGCAAATTACTTCTCATAATGTCTAACAGTAAACCCTTTTATGATCCTGTGCGTAAAGAAGTGCATGGTCCAAAACCTTCTGGATTATTGACAGATACAAGAGGTTTAGGTTGTTTTGTACTGGATGCTATGAAAAAATGGGCGAAGGAAAATAAAATAGCACAGGTATTTATTTATTTAGTTATCTATAAACAATATATATACTCATTTGAGTCAAATTAGATTATTGCAGAAACTGGTTATGAAGATCCATATAAATCTTTATTATCACGATGTGTTCGTACGGCTATAGCAATGAGAGAACTTGGAATACAAAAAAACGATATTATAACAATTTGTTCTAATCATCATCTGAATTCTGTCGTACCACTGATTGCCGCTTCTTTTCTTGGTGCAATTACAGCCCCGACAGATCCTTCACTCTCATTAGACGAAACAAAACACCTGTTAAATTTGGTTAAACCAAAACTTGTGTTTGCTTCTCCTAATTGTGTGGAATTAATAGCAAATAGTTTGGATAAAACTGACTTTAAATGTGAACTGATTGTGTTTGGTAATGATAAAAATTCCAAGTACAAAACATTTGATTGGTTCTTGCAGGAACGCAGTGATGAAAACAGTTTTGAACCTGTCGTTGTAGAAGATTTGTTGTCGACTTGTTTGATATTATTTAGCAGCGGCACGACAGGATTGCCCAAGGGGATCTGTTTGACTCATAAACTTGTTATGAAATCAATAAGTGGGTAAGTATGCCGCATAAGTTTCTTAATCAACTTCATACTGCAGTTAATAAATTATAAACTTGTTTAATTGCTTACAATTGTAAATTTCTCATGCTTATAAATTTAAAATACCAATTGATTTAATATGAAGGTTAAGATTTATTTTTGTTTATTTCAGAATGACAAGTCTGAAAACTCCTGTGAAAACTTTTCTGGGATATGCTTCGTTATATTGGGTTTCAGCTGTCATAATCGGTATTTCAAGCTTGGGCATTGGTGCTAGAAGATTGCTATGCCAATCATTCAAGCCGGAATTAGTCTGCGATATTATCGCAAAGTATCAAGTTGATTACTTGTTCATTGCTACGGTTCAGGCGATACAAAGTATTCCATTTTTAAACGACAACGGCAACAGGGTGAAATATATGATGGTGTCTGGAAGTAAAATCGCACCGTGTTACTTAGAGAAGTTGCGTGAAAAACTTCCGGATGCTTTTATTGCTGGTCTTTATGGTCAGACCGAAGTTGGGTATATTACACAACTTACAGAAAAAGATCACAACTATTCCAAGTTGGAATCTTGTGGACTTCCAATGGCAGGACTTACTATTAAAGTATGTTTACATAATAAAATAAAAATTAAATATTTTAATTCAATTAATAATAAAATTAAACGTTTTAAATTCAGATTGTTGATCTTGATACTGAAGAAAATCTACCCTTGGGTAAAGTGGGTGAAATCCGCGTGAAAACCGATTGTGGATTAAACGGTTATTATCGTCAAGACTCCTCTGGCGTTTGGGACTCAGAGGGATATATTATGACGGGTGATTTGGGCTATTTCGACAATGATCTCTGCTTGTTTGTGACGGATCGGATTAAGGAGATGTTCAAATACATGTCGTGGCACATCGTCCCGGCGGAACTCGAGGCGACCTTACAGACTCATCCAGATGTCGACTTGGCTATCGTTATTGGAATTCCGCATCCGGCCGACGATAATCATGCATTGGGTATTGTTACGCTACAACCCAATGCGAATGTAACTGCGAAGCAAATTGAGCAATACGTGAACGATAGAGTTAATGACAGGCATAAGTTACGTGCGGGTGTTATGATTTTAGATGCTAAGGAATTACCCATTACTCCAACTGGGAAGATTAATAGACGTTTAGTTAAAAAAATTGCTGAATCTAAATTAGCTATAAATAACAACGTATAATTTATCTTCATGTTTTTAATGATATTATGTATTAAACAATGAAAATAGTTGGTATATATTAAATTGATCACGCACATGAACAAATTTGATCGTTTATTAATAATTTCCGTAATTACATGACTTTGTACTAAAAATCTGCCCCGATCCCTTTGTAGAATTCACGGTTTATTGCATGCATTTTTAATAAGTATAATAGCACCGCTTGTTTCATAATTGTATTGACTATTCCGAAGATTTTCCTTTAATGAATTTAATGAATGTTCGTGTTGTAGCAAGTGGACTTTGCGTCACCTAAATACAAGCCGAGTGCATATTTGATTGCGACCTTTAAATAAACTACGCTATTTGTCCTAGGTGCATAAGTGCACTGATTGAACAGCAAAGACAATCAGTTTTACTCTTGACCCTTTAAAACGTTATCAAATATTATTGAATAATGGCTGCTTACGGGCATTATTTTGATGAAACAACTAAGGAAATTCACGCTACTAAAACACAAGCTGAGTTAGATGACAGAGGCGTTGGATATGTGTTGTTTTACAGTATGAAAAAATCAGCTGAAAAAGGATTAACTGCTCAGGTATGACAATATATTAATTTTTAATATTTTTGTCTATTTCTGGTTTAAAATGTCTTAGATTGAAGCAATAACAGGACACCGCGATTCTTTCAAAAGTTTTCTCTCTCGTTGTGTTAGAGTAGCAATGTCAATGCGAAAAATGGGAATAAAACGCGGTGATGTAATCAGCATTTGCAGCTATAATCATTTAAACAGTGCAGTGCCGTATTTGGCTGGACACTTTAGCGGTGCTACTATAGCGCCGACAGATCCTTCAATTTCAGTGGAAGATCAAAGACATCTTATGAATCTTGTTAAACCGAAAATTATCTTCGTTTGCAACGGCAGTGAGGAACAAACTTTGAAAGCTTTAGCACCGTTGAAGTTCAAATGCGAAGTTATCACATTTGCTCGAGACAAAGGCAGTCAATATCGTAGTTTTGCTTCGATGATTGAGAAGCAAGACGATGAGGAAAACTTCGAACCTGTGATCAGTGAAGACCCCACTGCAACTTGTGTGATTTTGTTTAGTAGTGGAACTACTGGATTGCCGAAAGGAATTTGTTTGAATCATTATTTCATTATGAGTACTTTTACAAGGTATAATAAGTTAATATAATGTCAAACAAATATTAATTTTGATTATTTTAGTGTGGAATCTTTACAAACAGTTAAACCAAGATTTTTGATTTATTCTTCTTTGTATTGGATCTCAGCAATTGGTTTCCAAACAATTTGTTTTTATTATGGAATGGAACGCGTTGTGTGCACTCATTATGATTCTTCGTTAATCTGGGAATATATAAGAAAATATCAAGTAAAAATTTTGATAACCGCTATTTTGACTTCTTCAAATAATAATTCTGATTATTTCAGGTTCATGTTGCATTTTTAGCACCTGTTCAAGCAATAAGAAGTCTTGAATATCTTCATCCGTCTAAAGAAAACCCTATACCTTTAAAAATAATGTTGATGGGAGGTTCAGCACTCGCAGCAACATATTATCAACGCCTAAGAGATTTGCTGCCTCAAACACTAATAACAAATGGCTACGGCCAAACAGAACTTGGTTTTATTGCATCGTTTCAAAAACCCGACGAATATTACCTAAAATTAAATTCTGTCGGAGTATTATCAGCAAATTGCATTGCAAAAGTAATAATATTATCTTTTCAAAGTAACTTATCATAATTTTTAATTTTATTCCTTTTAGATTGTTGATCCTGATAGTGAAGAAGCCTTAGATTTGAACCAAAAAGGTGAAATTCGTATAAAAGTACCTTATCCAATGAATGGATATTACAATCAAGATTCCACCTCGGTGTGGGATTCCAACGGCTTTGTAAAAACGGGTGATCTTGGTTACTTTGACGACGACCTGTGTCTTTATCTCACCGATCGCATCAAAGAAATGTTTAAGTATCAGTCTTGGCACATTGTGCCTGCCAAACTGGAAGCAATTTTACAATCGCATCCGGATGTTGAATTGGCAATTGTTGTGGGCATTCCGCATCCGATTGAAGACAACCATGCGGTCGGTGCGGTCACTCTAATGCCCAAAGCTACCGTTTCAGCGAACGAGTTAGAAGAGTACGTGGAAAGTCAAGTGGATGAAAGAAACAGATTACGAGCTGGAGTTGTAATATTGGATCGCATGCCATTGACGCCCACAGGGAAAATCATGCGGAGGGAAGCCAAAGAAATGTTAAAGAAAATCGTTAAACTTAGATATTAAATAATCTAAACACTATAGATAATTAATACATTTAATTGTTTATTACTTAATCGTAAATATTACAAAACACAAAAGGTTGTTTTTTATTCTACGTTTAATTAATATTTTCATATTTTTATATATTTATATATGTATTACTTTATAATGCAATATTTTGCAAATAACAACAAACAGTTTTGCCAATTTAGGTCGACATCATGCATATGCACTTTTCGTTCATTAAACATTTCAGTTTCAATAGATTCAAAATTCATCGGCGGTATCGTTTCATATATAGACTATGATGGCATATGGATTAGCACAAAACTTAACACAAACTTTCATCGAAAACAAATTGCTGCGACTTCGGAAACAATCAAAACATTTGTGTGCGATGTTAAAACTCCAATCTCATGGCTTAATAATTTCAGTTTCCGTTTTGTTTTTGCTTTACATTCCTAAAAGTGATTTTAAAGTTCAGCTGTTGTTTAGATACACATCTGAAATGTTTTACGCCAATACAAGACACAGCATTTTCATTATTGCGTTTTCATAATGATTGTTAATTATCACAGAAAGTTCTTAAACCAAAGAATTGCTCTCAGCATTGCGGCTTTGTTGCGTTATATTATGCGTTAGCGTTTTTAGCCGTATAGTATAAGAATTAACCAACATTTGTCATTAAAATTATCAATCAATCATTTTATTCGTGTTTTTCTTTTCATTTTTCCTATGTTTTGTTTACTGTTAAGCGCCAACGTTACAGAATTAGATGATTAGAGGTTGTAACATAATTATTCATTAATCATCACCATTATCAAGCAAGAACGTAATATCGTCTTATATTGCATTGTTTAATAGGCATTTCTCATTGCTTTTACTACTTCTTAATATCGATGAGGGTTATAATAATTAAGTAGCTTAAATAATTAACTAAAAACTTCAAAATTAATTTTTAATCATTTTTTTTCTTTTGTGGGAAAATATCATTTTTAAAACTAAAACTGTTTTATACATAGATGTCTCTTGCAATATAAATTTTATACAGGAAGTTATCGACTATTAATAATATTATTTTAAGTGTAGGTAGACAATTTCTTAAGTTCGATAAAGATAGATAATAGTAGATAATGTATTGTAACAGTAAGTAGTTATAAATGTGTGTAATTTGTCTTTTGTATTTGCCGTTTTGCGAGAATGTCAAAATTAACACAAATCACAACTGAAACGTTCATAAATTTGATTCGGTGTATGAAACGACTATTGCTAAGTTGAATGTATAATGCACATACACGGTGTCACAAATTCTGATTTATGTGCCTGATTTAATTTGATTATTTACATATTTTCTTTATTTTGCAACAAAAACGAAATTAAAGATTTAAGTATTTTCTTTGATAACCTGCTCAAAAGTTTTAATATACTGCGTTGGTGTTTTGTTTAATAAAAAGTATAATTTCTCGGACGTAAATTGATTGCTAAATATTTCTTGTCTTTGCTAATCATTTACAAATCCCGAAAATATAATTATTTTAATGTAATTGCATTCGATTTGAACGCTAAAATCTAATTTTTACTACTTTTTAGTAGGTATATTAATGGTAACGTTTTAAAATTTATCTTTTAGATATTTTATATTATTGTGTTATTATTACATGCATAGTTTTATAATTTTAAAAGTTTGGTAAACTAATAATTTCATTTTAATCAACCTGTTGCACGAGCATAGATTAAACTGTAGTGTCAATGTTTATGTTTATTTATATTTTAAACTCCGTTTTCGATGCTATCTGATACCGTGTCTTTATCTTTTGTAGATATGATTCGCTGGTTCAAGTTCAATCGCCATTAACAATTCAAGTCATCGCCGACAGATGGCGCAACCCTTACTGAAACCAGTGAATTATCCCAACTGTTTACATTCGTATCGTTCAACTTGTCGAACTAGAACTGCAACACATGGCAAGCAAATCAAAATACGAACTAATGATTGTCCGTAGCTTGTGCATCATGTAAGATAAGATTAGAATAAACATGATTTCAGCAAGATGAATGTAAGCTATCCGCACAACTCTTGGAATGTGAATGTTTGCCTAGCATGATCTTCGAAATGTTAATGATCTTATTGTCCCAATGGCATTTGCTTCGAAATTTGGCATCTTGATTTAAAATTGTACAAATGTCCATCATGTGTGAGTGTGTTGCTATTATACTGGGATGTATAATGAAGCTAGATCATTCAAAGTGATGTTATTTTTTTTATTCCTCGTTGCACAACCATTTAAGCCTAGGAAATTAATTAACAGTAGCAAACTTAAACAATGTCTCATCGTGCCAACATTGAAATGTCTTCGGATTAAAAGTGTAGAATATTATATATGTAGTAAATGTGACTTGGAAATAGTTTTCGAAACTATACATTGTCACACCATAGTTTATATATAGATAAATGTAATTAATTAGTTATTATAGAGTAAGTATTAGTAGTAGTTGTTAGATCTATGAAATTTAGAGTTAAAATTGACAAAATTTGCGCGTTTACATCAATCACAAGTTGATGAGTGATGCGCGTTTCATCATTTGTGGAATGTTTATATAGCATAGAGTTGGTTTGCAGTAAAAAGACATTTTGTTTGTATTTTGTAAAGAGATTAAAATATTGCTTAGATTTTAAAATTTAAAATTCCGATTTCGGTTTGTAATAACTTACTCATCGAAACTATACCGGTAGTAAAATTATGCGGATACAACGTTGAAGCGGATTAAATAATGGTTGTTTTTGTCCGTTATGTAATCGTGTTTGTCGTGTTTGGAGTGAGACTTGACTGGGTGTGCTGATCTCGTCGGCGAGTTGTGATCACGCGTACTTTTCGTCCGCACGACGTCAAAGGTTCTCCGGCTGAATGCCTTCGTCCTTATGCTATTCGCCTCCGAGCGTGAGCGCCTGCACGATTCGCGGGTCCGCTTTGCTGCCCTCGCGGAATTCCTCTAGCGTTAGTCGGTCGTCGTGGTTTTTGTCCATCTGATCGAAGATCTTATCTACGCGTTTCTGGGGCGTGTTTTCATCTTCGGCCGGCTGCTGACCCTAAGGGATAAAAGAAAACAACAACTTTTAATATGTTGCCACTCAAGCACGTAAATTCACACTTGATGAAACTCGTAAAAAACATAAACTTATTTTTATTAATGCGTGGAAGTACAGAAAGCTATGAATATGAATAAAAAATAAATTTAACCAGGTGTAGGAAGTCCCATCGAAAATGGTGGTGCTGTTATCAAGTGTGTGAAGTGCGAGCCTAATCTTTGTATCCACTTAACGCCCGTTGAATTATGTATAGCGAGCGGGCGAAAAGCGCTGGTGGGTAGTTAGCGTAATTGGATTTAACACTTGCGAAACAGCATTAATACGACGCCGGCGGTTTAGGGTTGCGGGCGATGTGAAAACACAAGGTAGAATTGCTTTATGGAGAAGGCGATGGGGCAAGCGGGCAAACTCCACGTTCGCCCAACGTTGTTGCAATAATCGCACCAGAATGTGTGCAAGAAAATGCGCTTGTTACAAGCGTCGGCGGCATCTCCAGATCATGTGTGTAATGCGCGCAAACATGTGACATGCGGGTAAGCGGCGTTAAATGGAAAAGCACTTACCACCATCTGGTATATTGCATCCACGATGTTGTACATTTCGTCGCGTGTGATGAATCCGTCGTTGTCGACGTCGTAAAGACGGAATGCCCCTGGAAAAGAAAGGAAATTACAATTTAATCACACGTTGCTAAACATTCAACAATATATTCAAAATTTAATTTTATTCACAATGACAAATGAAACATTAGTTGCATCTGGTGAATGTTTTATTTGCAAACCAAAGATTTATACATGGAACTGTCAACGCTGTAAACAATAACCGATTCCACTGTTTTGTTGCTTTAGTGCTGACAGCCAGCAGGCGTGAGCCTGATACATAAATCAAAATTGCGTTTCGGACGCACAGCCCAAAATGAGAAAAGTGAATGCCGTAAAATTGGACGCAAAACAATGAAATGGCAAGAAACGCCAGCAGCAAAAAAAACACAAAATAAATGGAAAAGAAAACCTGAATTGTAAATAATTCACGCTTTGCGCCCGAATAATTTACTTAGGAAAAGCAGCGCAGGCGGAAGCAAAACGCCGAAGCATAAAATTCAATTTGCAGTTAGTTATCTTTCCTGCTGCGATTCGGTAAACATTTACAGACTAGTAGAATTTACGTCTGTTGTGGTTTCACACCTGGATATTCTTAAACCTAGAATTATTTTATATTTATTCGGATTATTTAATTTTAAATTCTGATTTAATTCAATTTCTTGTGTATTCGTGTGTGTGATGTTTGAATCTATTTATGTTTATCGAATTTCATTTGTTTCGCTGCGTTAAGAGCGTGATGTGACTATGCGAAGCGGTGGTGAGGGTGGTTAGCAATTTGTTCATCGATATGTTTGCATTCAAGTCATACCCAACACGTGTTTACGATGGTTTCGAACGCGAACGCAGATTTGTATGCACAAACACAAAGGATAATTGAATTTTCCATGAAATCTGGTTCAAATATGCATTGAACAACGGTGCTCTACTTATCTTCCAACGAAATTAGAATGCCGCATTGATTAATTTAAATTTTTGAATAAAAAGAGTTTAATTGTAGTAAAAAACAAGTAGTAATCCCTGTGCAGGTAAAATTCTGGTTAAAACAATGGAAATTGTTTATTTTTATTATTTCATTAAAATATTCACTTTATTCGATTAATATTTATATTTTGACGAGTTTAACACTTCCACATGAATGCCTACATCAATCAATAATTCATAACAAATTTAATTTCGTCTATTTCCGATGGATGACATTTATTAACTCTATTTCCTCGTTTTGAGTACCAAAAATGTATAACTTTAAATATTAAACATTTTAATATCTGCCGTCTATGTCAGTATAACTTATATAACTTTTCTTGAATAAAAAAAGAATATCGATTCAAACTTTTTCTCATATTGCATGCAATAGATTTGCATATTTATGAAAACTATGCAAAATAAACATAAAAAACATTTCGAAACATATCTTGTTACATTTTGTATTGCATTGCATATATTATTGTTATTTTTTATTCCATGTTGCTTGCGCAGATTTAGTTACAGTTGTTTTTATTTAACTTTGCACTGCGGTGCAATTGTGCAATTGTACCATTTTTCATTCCGCTTCAATTTGTTGTGCAGTCATTTTCGCGAATTGGGACAAATCAGCAATTTTCCACGCTGTAGACAAATAAACAAATCTACTAGGTTTGCGCATCTGTGGCACTGCGATATATAGCATCTGGCCGGCTCATTTATATTCCGCAGCGAGACCGCGTAGTGTTGACTTTATTTCAATCTGTGAGCCGAATTTGATCCGCAGTGGACGAGCACAGCAGCAGGATTGTGGCAACACATTCATGTTGAGGTTTTTCTCAATTGACACTCATTTTTCACTTTATTTTCTTTTTACTGGCGGCTTAGTATTTATACACGAATGGTAACTTTGTCAAAACGTAATTTTATTTATATAAACAGAAGAAACTCATAATATTGAAGACGATCACAGGTATTTGATATACAGGTATGTATACAATTAATTATTTTCAGTTTATTTATTAGTTTATTATCATTTCAATCTATTTTTCGAAGATTTTGCATTCTCAAAGGAATCTTTGCTATTACAGAATTACTTTCGCACCAACTCTTTGCACAAAATGTTGATTGCAATATTCTGAATCTTAAAACGTAAACTTTTTCATTTATGTTGTGTGAACATTTTCGGAGAACGAGAGAAACACGAAAAGTTTTCTCATATTGTTAAATATTTATGAATGTGATGTTAACATTCTGCTGTGTATTTTGTATCCTTTGGAATTTACACAAGGATTACTTGTTTCATTTTCTACACTTCTATTTCGGTACCTACATACTTTCAATTCCATTGTTACCGTTGGACATTTAATTTACTACCACGAAATAACCTGAATATCAAGTTAAACACGTGACAAATTTATTTTTGGACCGCTTTAATTCGTAGATAACTAACAAAGATTTATATATGTTTAAGCTAGAGAAACTGCTTAAATATTATTATATTCAAGTTAGGTGCACTTCAAATACGATATCAAGCATGAAGCATCGCATCAAGTTTGCGTTAGTGTAGTGTCGGTTGAAGGTTGGAGGAGTTGCAAAAGTGAACCATGGTATGAATGCCAAACGCAGGCCCCGGCCTTGGTAGTACTGTAGTACATTCGGAAGCGGAGGCGGCGTGTGTATGAAAGAGCGAAACGCTGGGCCACAAGGGTTTTATTGATCGCGGTCGAAAAGGGGCAACTAGTAGGTGGTTGGGTTTCTTGTCATTGGGCCAAGGTTTCCAAGCGTGCACCCGCGGCTCTGATGCTCCCATGTGCGGATGGAAAACTCGCGTCGCGCGCGCCTGGGATTCGCACAAAAATAAACAGCCCAACACGTAAGCCACCACATTTGCATTAAACCAAAATAAGGATCGTGCGTTTAGATTTTAAATGATAAAATAACTTTCCGAATGCCGACATTTCGAATAGTTTTAATTTCACTAAACAATGTGCCAAACCGTAAATGTTAGATTCAAGATTTCGTCGTACGATTTAATTAAAATAGAATAATTTTAATAAAAAATGTATTTTATTCATGTGCAAATAATACCCACACGTGATTTTTTAATCCAGAGCTTATTTATGGAAATTATTCCACATCGTTCAGATTTATTCGATTAAACCCACACGGAAGGCCTTTTATTTCCCCACGGGTCGAGTAATACTAATAAATCCCAAGCATGCATATCATATCATATCATGAAATCTGATATCATAACCCAACGTCCGTTAAAACCATCTTATGGTCCACTGGAACTCACAATACAACCATAATCGTTACTCAGGTTTACGATGCTAATGATTTCGCACAAACTCAACACGTTTTGTGAATTGTCCACTAAATCTTTATCACTCTTTAATTTAATGACCACACAATCATAAATATAACGTATTCTAAATTTTTATTTGATTTTATTTAATCGGCTGTGTAATTATCATTGGTTTTTAATTTTGAGTATCTACCTATGCGTTCAATACTCCAGTTAATGAACAATTATCGAAATTAACTGGAGCGCAACTAATGGAACGTAATGAGATGTTAATGAGTTGTTAGCACTGTACCACGACACGTTTTTATATTGAAAACGAGCGAGTATTTCATTAATGAGCTGTAATGAGTTATTTTTCTACATCAATGTTAATATGCATGCACGGAGTGGCTAATAATAATCAAAAGTGAAAAGAGCGTTGAGTATAATGAAATCAAACTTCACATGAACGCAACCATTCTCAATGTACTCGTAAATGTACGTTTGGTGTAGATATAGAGCTTTAATTGACTTTGTTCAACTTCAGGTATTAGTGACCTGTGCAAACATTATTTCGAGGAATGTTTACACATTGCGGTGGACACACAACACATGAAGCTTATTATTATTTAACAATAAAATAAATGATTGCTAATTATTTAATCATGTTTTTCAAAATTAGTTGTTCAAATATTAATTAAATAATTAAATAATTAAAATAGTTGTTAAATTATAATTTTACGATCAATACTGCAATATCCGCCTCTCTACTCCTCTCCACCTCTAAATAGTTTGGTTGGTATCAAATTGCAAAACTAGCAGGAGACAATCGCTTGAAATCCGAAACTCTGGTGAACGATTTAGAGGTTAATTAGAATTCATTCAACGGTGGTTAATTAGATTATGCGGATAGGTTTCCGTGCGCTTCTAACCATCGGGATTATTTCGATTTGGCGAGTGTTCAGCGGTTTACCCGGTTATTAATCCGATGCGATGACAATGTTTCTCGGCTAACCAGAAATGATGAACAAATCATTACGAAACAACCCAACAATTTACTATGAAAAGTTTATCGCAATTAAAAGCACATCAAAATCACATCGTTAGTATACAGAAGCGTTATTTGTTTGAGTGATTAGGAAACAAAAAAATGTCACCGAATATCTGATGTGAAGAATGATTGAAATTCATTTGACATCGTACTAACGTTGATTTATCGTCGGTCACAAATTCATTTACGCTTTACGCTCTAGGCTAACAAATGGTACTCGGGTACTCGTAATCAGTGAATCAAATGTACTTGCGTGTTATCTACTTCAGTGATTTGAAACAATGCGGAGAGCAATCGGTTATTCAATCACGCTGTCTGCACACTGACTATTTTAATTTTACAGAAATAAATTTAACCAACATTTTAATAAAAAAATTTTATAATACTTACAATGTAGTTTTTCATCTAAATTGCCTCGTGACGTCACCGATAACGCCCGAATAAACTCCTCGAATTCAATCGAACCATCCTGAAAATTAAACAATGATTATAACAACATGTTTACCTACTAATTATGCAAAAACCATGCAGACAGTTTTCCAATATTTGAAAATAATGAAATTTGCACGCGTGTAGTGTTGCAATGGATTGTAAGTTTGTTACTTTGCATCAATGCAAATACTGTCAATGAAATTAGCGAACTTAATTAGATTAACTCCCGTAAGTGCAATAGGAGCTGCTCGTGTTCCCACGAGAATTGGGTAATATCCGTCATATACACTCATTCGGCAGCAGTGTGCAGATAGTATCAAATTCATAATTAAGGCACGTTTGCATATTTTCCATGAATGTCTACACTTGGCAAATATATTCTCCGCAAACTTACTCTAGAAAATTAAATTGGAAAATATCTACTTCTATTCTGGGATTAGTATTAGTATTTGCAAATTTTAGGTTTAATCATAATCAACTTAATTAAATTGTTAACATTTTCGTTTAAATGTATAAAGATTTTAGGATTTTTAATTTTGTAGGAATTTATTTGAATTTTTGAATACTTACGTTATTCTCATCGAAGACTCTAAACACTAATGACGCAAACTTGGATGGATCGCCTTGTGGAAAGAACTGTTTGTATATTTTAATGAAGCCCTAAAACAAATACACAATGCAATTGATATTAATCCAAACAATAGAGGAAACACACAAAAGCAATTTTATGCGAAATGCGAGGAAAACGGAAACTCTGCAATTCTATTTGAAATTCCAAGCGTGACTCTTTTGTATCTCTTATCAACAAGTTGCGGGAGTTTTTTCATTTGCCAATGCATCCCAACTAAATACAACTCACAAAGACGCAAAGCACAAGTTTTCGGGAGAATCTTAGAAGACGAGCGTAGGGAATGCAACAAAAGGCCAATAATTACCTGTTCGGTAAGTAATCCGTTGGGACAATCCTTCAGGAATCCTTTGTGCCTGTAAACAGAAAGTTGAGCAAACATTGTTCATTTTTCAAAAATGAAAAAAAATTAATTTCAAGTAGATTATCACAAAATTGGTTTCACAAACATGACAAAAATTAATTTTATATTTTTTATTATTAATAACTTACCATTGTCGAATTTCTTTTTCAGTAACTGTAACAAAAAACATAAATATTAGTCACATTTATCAATTTTCTTGTCATATTTATGATTGATTGTACGTATTTACACAAAATTCACTTAATTTTTTTATATTGTGTTAAGATTACTCTTGACCAATGTCAAAATATCAGAATTCAGGACATCACAAGCGATTTAACACTTCAGAGCTATAAAAGTCAGAAAAGCTCGCGAATATTTGCCTTCAGTCAACATCGATATTTGGAAGCGTTGTTGGCTTATATACCACTTTGCTAAAGTGTTTACATATTGATTTTTATTGTCACGAAACCAATAAATAACAGCGCGTAAAGAAATTGGTAAATACAGAAAAATAAAAAAGGTCCACGTCAACTTCCGATAATAAATTGTAGTATATTATTATTTGATTATTAGGATATAATTTCGTATAAAGTAAAGCACATATTATAATATGTGCCAATAATTGCCAATAATTATTGGCAAGATACATTATACGTATTTATTTTTTACTGCGGCGTTGGCGCCATTGGTGGGCAGAGGCATTCCTCGTCTTCGATATCTTCACATTCACCGCTGCCTGACAATAAGTTTTCGCCACTGTTACTCAGGGCTGCTTGTATTTGGCTCAAGCAGTCTTTAAAATCATCATAGTACACGGCGAACCAATATCCGCCAACTAAGCCACCCGCCACTGGACCGACAACTGACATGGCGCTTCTTGCTTTGCAGTACAAACTCTTTGACATCTAAATTTTTAAAATAAATAAAAAATTAACTTAAAAAAGTAAACTTTTAAATTTCTTACTTTGTATTATTTAGTACGATTGCCAATTAGTTCATTTCTTTTGTATATACTGTGTATAATTACTATAAATTTTAGTTGTTTTTTATTATTTCAAACGTGCTGCGATGATTCTCGTGTTGATGAGAGTATTGACTGCTGACAGGTTTTCAACTTGTCAGTATGACATATAATGATGACATAAAATTTAAAAAAGCGACTATATTTTGTTCTCGGATAATTTGCTTTCTTGGAAACGCAAACATAGCAAATATTATTTGTTCTTGAGACGTAAGTGCTTTTAAATTGTGTGTTCATGGAGTATTACGGTGATGGGTGTGGGGTTTAAATTGCTCAATGTTTACTAAGATAATATTTTTCTGCTTGTCAAATGCTTTCGTATCTATTTAACTATTCAGCGCTTTTAGCAGTCAACCAAGAAAGGAAAGTTATTACGGAAGCCATTTTATCCACCTTACAAAAATCTATTTTTTTTTGTTCAAAGAAAAACACAATTTACATTCTAAAATTGTGATTTTTAATAATTGTATTTTTTTATTACAAATGTCTTAATAAAACCCTACGAGTTAATAAATGGCAAAATCATTAAGTCAAAGATTTTTCCAGCTGGGGAAACAAGACAATGAATAACTATGTCCATGTCCATTTCGAGCCGTTCGTTATTTTGTCAGGAATTACATGCCATTACACAGCAATTTAATCTATTGTGTCGCCCAAGCGGCCGTAATGGTGCCAACTGTATTGTGCGCGCCTTGTGTTCCTCCACCTCCGCCTTGTAATTTTTTCCTCGGGTTTCATCAATTTTCCACTTATTGTCCAGCCCGCTGCTAACGATCAATACGCGCTGTGAACACGGTGATGTGAGATTCCGGTGGCGGCTGGCTGCTGCGTGTGCGTACGTTCGTGATATTTCAATGTCAGATGCGAATCTCGCGAATTGTGCGCGAGGCAAAAAGTTGTCGGATCGTATGACATGGGACAGCGGACGCGGTTGCCACTTGCGTGTGTAATAAACACAATACAAGGTCTAGCAAACGTATTGTATTCGTTTTGGTGCCGCAAATGGCACTTAGGTTGGTATTCAGGGTGGCTCGATCAATGCTCGCGCTAAGTAAATTACTAATGTTACGCTTTTCCTACCGGAGCGATAAGTGACAAGCAAATATAAGTTACTTTTTGTTCGGACTTGAAAAGAATACTTTACCAAAAATTACAGAATAAAAAAACTTGGAATTAATCAAATTACAATTTTCTCCATTATTTATTCCTAAAATAAATGAAATAATATGTTTATATTCAAATTTAGTTCTGTATGTCTCTAAACTTACAAACTCCAAGAATTTTGAAGTTATTGATGACTTGCGCAACAGTTTACAGAGAGTACTTTAGGATGGTTAATGTCGATGCTGCAGTTAATGGCTTCGAGTGTTCACGTCTGTTGCGCACAGTGAATCGCTTCATTCAGGTTATAAATTACCGCAAAAAACTCAATTCACTCAGCTTAATTATCAAATAAATATCAGACCATAAGATTACGAAACTTATTTGAATTTAAATGAATTTTTTGTCAATTTTTTACAAGTAAAACACTCGGTAGGTGTACTTAACTTTCACTGCGGTAAGTTTAATAACTTGTTTGGCAGCAGGGTGGTACTGCATAACTGTATCGCTAGCCGGGAAACTTCCAAAAGGTTTTTATAAATAAATCATTAGTTCAAGATGTTCGTTTTTGTTCGGGTTTCGGGCGACAGCGTCTTCACATTCTTTGCATGCCTTGATAGTTAACGTGCTAAATATTTGAGTGGGTTTGATTGGGTTTCAAGTTTTAAGTGCCAAGTTTGTTTATGAAAACTTTGAATTGGTATTTTGCATCTGCCCACAACATTTTTATAATTTTTATGCAAAAAATATTTATTTACTAACCAACACGAAATTAATTTATTTTTTAAATTTTTAATTTTGGGGCCACTTTTAAGTATTTCATTAGTGTTAGTTTTAAGAGGGGTTAGGGTTATGCGTAATTGTTATTTGCACCTAGTAAAACTTTCCACATCCAGTGCGTATTACTCTTATCCATTACAAAGTTTTTATTTAATACCCCACCAACCCCCCTGGGACCCAACTGCAAACCGAGCACCACAATCACTCTGAACCCAGTTGGAGCTGTTTACAATTTACTTAGCCTGGAGTAGAGTAACTGATGTTGCGGGCTAAGTATACGGCTATGTGTTATTACGAGCGTATCGTGTTTGTTGCCCACGCCTGGTATCGCTGTTCTGCAAATGTGAGGGACAGTCCTGCTGCGTGACTAATACGCCGCACATATCTTCTTGCTGCGCTGCCGGCAAATACGCTCCTAGCTCGCTCTCAATTACCCCTCAGCAAGCCACCTCAATTCATATAAACTGTGGTTTATGTCATACCCGCCGGCGAACATTTAGTATATCCGCGTTTGCCCCCTTTCGCATGCCAGCAGGTAGCCGCAATTTACTTGCCGCCGCCGTTGCCGTCGTCTCTGGAACAGAACTTATTTCTGCACAACGCGCGCGTACCATACAACGGAAACAAATGAGTTTAATCAACATTGTGTTATCGCCGCTTTCAAACTATCGCTAATAGATGAGCGTCACAACATGGATTACGCGTGGATTACACGTGCGAAAGTTCAACATTCGAGACAAGGAGTTAATGAGCTTTTGTTTACGCTGACGCTGGGATAATTTATTTTCTTGGAAACACCTTATTATGAAAGTTTTGGATTAAAATTCAAATAATTAAAAGTGGAAAATATCAACATTTTGCACTTTGAGTTTATTAGATGGATATTTGGATGGATGCACTCTATTTTCCGCTTGTTGCGTTAATATGCAATTCAAATTTTGTGTTTTGTGAGTCATGGAAATTTTTGAAACACGTCAAATACAAATTGACTTATTTCAACATATCAAAAGCAAAGTTTAAGCTTAATTTACAAATAAATATATTTTTATTTTAAAACGTAGCAGAATGCTACCAGATAGTACAAAAAAGTAACCAAGAAATCGTGCGCGTCAGCGCAAGATGTTCATTGTGTTTAATGATCAAATTAACGAGCAAAAGGGATGGGTTTTACGTGCGCTTCATGGTTTTCCAAGCACAAAGAGTTTAGTGGAGCGTGACGTCTCAAATGTTACACTGTGCCATAATCCCAAATGCTTTAACGCAACGCGTAATAATTTCTAATTTTAAAATTTGCTTTGAGACGCGTCGCCAAAAAGGTCGCCAGACTTTGTTTTAGTTTAAAATGTGCAGCACGCAACGGAGTAGACGAAAAACATACAAAAGGTGGATTTGAGAACTTCTAATTACCCCCACGTTGTACGCCAACTTTGTTTCATTCGTTCGCGCGTATTGTCAGGAGACAAAGACAAACAAGAAATCCATTGGTCGCGACTCAACTTTCAACTCGTAAACTTGTTTTTTCGTTTGTTACAAAACACCAGATAGAAATAAAACGAAAAACAAACAAATTAACTTCTTGCGTGATACTGTTTTAATGGTCTTAGAGTCTTAAACGATCAATACATATCACAGTCACACGTTCTTAAGTGTAATATTCATTATTTTTATTTTTGGTGTTTTCCTGACACTCATATTTTGCATTGCCAACTCAAAAAGTAATTTACAATAGTCAGCACTTTTTCGTTTTCCATTAAAACCGCGCCGAACTTGGCCCGACCAAAAACTCCATTCAAAAATGCACAAACAAGCTGCCAGCGCAAAAAAAGGCTCAACCAGAAAGAAAATTTAATTTCCCCGAAAATTTCCGCGGCGCGCAAATACACCCGCACAAGGTTTACAGCATGGCGCGCACAAAATGGGGCTATCCGAAATCTCGGTGTATATATCTAATCCTTTCATTCCAACAATTTTCTGTTTGTATGCACGTTGCCACGCCGAGTTGCCCGTTGGCACCGCCCGCGTTTTCAAAACGGAAAAGCGTAAATGGACAAAGGCTACATTTATGAGTAGAAAGAGCACGGTGAGCCCAGCGCGAGTTTTCCTTTTACAATCTTGGATATGGCTCTCCGTGCGCATTTTCGGTTGTTTATTGTATGTGCGAACAACATATTTGTTGCTTGTGTTTGCTCGACGTTTCACACCTCTGATAGCAATTTTTTACGCACATCACGCAACTTTTTTGTGTGCGGCATTTGCAATAAAAATGTGT